AGCTGCAGTCAATTTAACAAATGCAAAACAAACAGAAAGGGGTACTTAATATACACCTAAGGTGGAAGCTTTGGGGCCCATCTGATAAAAGTGCTGGTAACAGTGAGTAACCTGCTAATTCTATTAAATTTATCACACTAGGTATATGTTTAAATTTAACACAAAACCTGCAGTTTCTATTAGGAAATGTGTGAAGTCTGTTCTTCAGTTTCTTTAGATCAAAAAAAAATTAAGTGTAGAATTATATCATTATAATTTAAAGAAAAATATCAAAGTCTTTTTCATATTAGACTTTCAAAAGAAAGAACTCTAGCTTTTTTTTTTTTTTTTTTTTAACGGATTTCTATTCCAGAATAGTGCTTTACTGACTTCGGCAAGAATTTGTCACATAGTACAGCAGCCCTGGCTAGGCAACTGCAGCAATTCTTCTTTTCTTCCCCACAGAAACCACCAGGGACTTCCCTCCGCTCCTCATCACTGCAATCCCCGCAGCAACCTGGGAGACAGACCAGCGGCCTCAGGCGCTGCAGCGGTGGCAGAGGAGAGGACGGATGTGATATGTTCAACCCATCACACCATGCGACCCACGCAGCCCTTTCTCCGGATTCCCTTCCTTAACTCAGGAGAAGGAGAAAGTTAAGCAATGAAGGAAAACATCCCTGCCGCTTCTTTCTTACCCCAAATGGCTTAACCTACCAAACACATATCATCCCTGCCCTAAAATATGCCCCTCACTATCATATGCAAGGAAAGAGAAAACTGGTGGGGTGTTAGAAAGTAAACCATGACCTATCCTCTACTTAACAGTGTCCACCCCTTCCAGATGACGTCTGCAACACATTCCAGTTCTCAACTGCCATCTGGCACGCTGGCTCTGAGGCAGCCATCTTGGACTTCATCTCAGCACATGAAAAAAACGGCAGGGGTCTCAAACTCAAAAGCCTTGAACCTAAGGAGACAGTATAAATGAGTAAGCAGACTACTGGGTGCAAACACAGAAGGAATCAATGGAATGGAAAGCACATCCCTGCCTAAGAGGGCCTCTCAGTTAACTCTTTTTCAAGAGAAGCTGGAAATCCAAATCTTTACTTGCAGTCTCTTCATTTGTAGTCAACTACTTCAAAAATTTTGGTAAGAATTCTATAGCCAAATAAAAGATGCCTCAGTTGGATAAGCTTCAATAAGGCCCCTCAAACCCACCCGTTAACTTTAATCTAGAATCCCTAGAGATTTAAGAGAGATCACAGCTTCCCTTACCACTATTCTATGCCTCTTCTCCAGAACCCCCAACTCTCAACCCCAGGCCAAGGTAGCTACCACAGTAGGAGATCCCAGCTTCTGTTCCTGTTTTACTGCCAACTTTACCTGGGTTAGGTTAAAGTTGTGCTTCCAACAGCCCAAAATATAGAGCTCTTAGTACCCTTTCTCTTAGAAATACTGTTACACAGTGGTTAGGTTTGATACTTCTATTCTTCAGTATAGCATAAGTTAAAAAGGGTTTTTGTTGGCTAGTTCGGGAAAGCTACTTATCAAATATAACAATATGTCTACGGGAAAACTGTTTTTAGAATTCCAAAATAAATACATGTATAAATAAACTTTTGGAACACTACCATTGGTAAAACGAATGTTTTCTAAATTCTAATAATGACACTGTTGAATTTTAAGACTTGCTCAGTGGTCATAGGGTACTGGACAGCATAATTACATTTAAGGGAAATTACAAAGGCACATTAAAGAATATATTCAAAATTAAGTTTTACAGATCAGTCTATATAATATACTGGTATACAATTTATTTCGTGACATAAAAGGGCCCTACACTGAAGCAACCAAAGCTAAAATGTTAATGTTTTCCTATTCCCTACCACTACCCCTTTATCTCCTCTCCAGTCTTCCCGCAAGATGCCATGAGAACTGTAAGGCTGTAAAGAGATTCCAAAAAAAGTAAAAATGTAATTTTTAAAGCAATATGAAACAAAGGCACACTGGTGGGCACAAAAAGGTGTTAAGATTTGTTTCTATTCATATGTTAGCGTGCCACATCACTAGGATAAACCAAACAAACATACTCAGAATTTTTACTGGAACAAGAATTTATCCGACTGCTTTACTTTTTTTTAAAGGCATGGAAGATAGGCAGAAGCATCACTCTCAAATTATATCAAGAGGTTTGAAATGCCCTACGCTTTATAATTTTAAAAGATGTAGAAAACTTTTCGTGTCTGAAAAAGTTTTAATAAGTATAATGATAATAAAGCAAATTTACACCAAATCCCAAAACAAAAACAGAGAATACAAAATTGGCAAGGGCCGAGAAATGTCAAAATTCACTTATTAAAGTTAAGTGCTAAAGTCTCCAGCTGACTTCTTTCTGAAATATATTTTGTGAGAATCTGTTACAATAAATGCATAAAGCACACAAAGAGATATAAGCAACCAACAGTCTGGGGTCTCAATACCAAAATATTTTGAGGTGTTGCTTTTGTTCGAAGTCTCCTACTAATCACAGCTGATCCCTAAGCTCCTCAAATCATTAAACAGTTACTCTTCTGTTTATATGATAAAAACATGGTTTATATAAACAAAATCCATCAGTTGGAATTTTAAAGCCTGACTAATGACTTCTGGAAGAAGTATTCTTTAAAAATGATTTTGCTTATGTATCTTGTTTTTCACTCCCTGTCCCTCCAAAACTTGAAGACTGAAACTTTGTTCATCAGCATCACAAGTTTACTCTTTATTTGGATTATAATCTTCTAAGCAAAAGAAGAACAGGGTAAGTAGAAGACAATGTAGAATAGTAGAATAGGTAATAGTCACATCTGAACTGAATTATCTTTCATAAACTTAAGCCCAATTAGTATGAAATAAATTTAAAAGACAAAATATGTTAGTTTTCTAGGTATATATAGCATCAAGTCTTCATGACTGACCATGAATGACCAATTGTAAACCCGTCAGGGGGAGGCTGAGAGGGAAGTAAGTAGTTGATTTTTATATTTTATAAAAGTATGAAGGTATAGATTTCACACTTGCTACTGAGGCTGACATTTTTCATATTACAGTATTCTTAGAAAAAGCACTGCAAGGAAAGATCAAAATGTTAATATAATGGGTATCTTTAAATGGCATTAAATAGGGGATGCTTTTTTTCTCTCCTTTCTACTTTTCTCTTATTTCAAAGTTTTATACAATAGGAGTATATTACTTTTGAAATAGCAAAACGCCTAATTTAAAAGTCTTTAAGCCAAAGCAATATTAAGAAAGAAGCTGGAGGAATCAGGCTCTGTGACTTCAGGCCACACTTCAAAGCTATAGTCATCAAAACAGTATGGTACTGACACAAAAACAGAAACATAGACCAATGGAACAGGATAGAAAGCCCAGAAACAAACCCATGCACCTATGGTCAATTAATCTATGACAAATGAGGAAAGAATACACAATGGAGAAAAGACAGTCTCTTCAATAAGTGGTGCTGGAAAAACTGGACAGCTACATGTAAAAGAATGAAATCAGAACATTCTCTAACATCATATACAAAAATAAACTCAAAATGGATTAAAGACCTAAATGTAAGACTGGATACTATAAAACTCCTAGAAGAAAACATAGGCAGAACACTCTTTGACATAAATCGTAGCAGTATCTTTTTGAATCCGTCTCCTAGAGTAATGGAAATAAAAACAAAAACAAACAAATGGGACCTAATGAAACTTAAAAGCTTTTGCACAGCAAAGGAAACCATAAACAAAGTGAAAAGACAACGTACAGAATGGGAGAAAATATTTGCAAACTATGAAACTGACAAGGGATTAATTTCCAAAATACACAAACAGCTCATATAGCTCAATATCAAAAAAGTAAACAACCCAATCAAAAAATGGGCAGAAGATCTAAATAGACACTTTCCCCAAGAAACATACAGATGGCCAACAGCCACATGAAAAGATGCTCAACATCACTAATTATTAGAGACATGTAAATCAAAACTACAATGAGGTTATCACTTCACTCCAGTCAGAATGGCCATCATCAAAAAGTCTACAAATAATAAATGCTGGAGGGTGTGGAGAAAAAGGAACCCTCCTACACTGTAAATTGGTGCAGCCACTAAAGAATACAGTATGAACATTCCTTAGAAAACTAAAAATATCAAGTTACCATATGATCCAGCCATCCCACTCCTGGGCATTTATCTGGAGAAAAACATAATTCGAAAAGATACATGCACTCCAATGTTCATAGTGGCACTATTTAAATACAATAGCCAAGACATGGAAGCAACCTAAATGACCAGCGACAGATGAATGGATAAAGAAGGTGTGGTGTATATATACAATGGAATACTGCATATATTCAGCCATAAAAAAGAATGAAATGATGCCATTTGCAGCAACATGGATGGACCTAGAGATTATCATACTAAGTGAAGGAGGCCAGACAAAGACAAATATCATATGATATTTGTTTATATGTGGAATCTAAAAAAAAAAAAAAAAATTAACTTACTTACAAAACAGAAATAGACCCACAAAGAAAACAAACTTACAGTTACCAAAGGGGAAAAGGGGGGAAGGCATAAATTAGGAGTTTGGGATTAACATATACACACTATTATACATAAAACAGATAACCGGCAAGGACCTACTGTATAGCACAGGGAACTATACTCAATATTTTGTAATAACCTATAAGGGAAAAGAATCTGAAAAAGAATATATATATACATATGTATAACTGAATCACTGTGTTGTATATCAGAAACTAACACATTGTAAATCAACTATACTTCAATAAAAAATAATAATATATGTAGCTTACATTTGAAAAAAAAGTCTTTATGTCAGATAATATAGAGTCACTGTGTCACAAGAAAAGCAAGTCCTGAGATCTGTCATTTTTAATGTATTCTTTAAGTTGATAAAGAAACTTTATGAAGTTAATAGATTCGTTCTTGAGCAAAATAACAACAGCAATGATAATAATAATTTCACCTGTTCCCTTTCGTGCAAGTTCCATATTCCATTGGGGTTTTGTGGTGGGTGTGCCATCAGAACCTGATGAGTGCTGGGGGATTAAAGCAGATCGGGAGCTGGCTGGCCGATATTTAGAGAGCCCTAAAATGCCAAAGAAGAGTGAAAACAGGGATTTATTTCTTTGTTTCCCCAAAGAAGAAAACAGTCTGAAGGTTTTTATAAGTTAACCTTAAAGCCAGAATCAGTTCAACAGTAAAATTCCAATAATAAAAAGAATACTACTATTTTACTGAAGATCCCCCATTTGATTTACTTGTCATGGTTCCAATATACTTAAGTCTGAGAAAAATACACATTCAAGAAAGACAGTATACCTGACTGGACTGCTGAACATATAAACTGGAGTCTACATTCTGGAGCAGAACCATGTCATGTTTTTCATTATTTATGTGGAACTTTGCTTATAGTAAAGAATGCCTGCTCCCCCCAAAACTTATTAATAAATTCTATTATAATATTTACTCAACAAATAGATCAAAATAATTTAGGGATTACAGAAGATATTTAAAACAGGAACGTTTTAATGGTATAACGTGAACAGCACTGTAGTTATCAGGAGACCCAGGTTCTAATTCCAAATTATCCACAAATTAGATATACAGTCCAGGTAAAGACATTTATTTTTTTGTGCCTCAATTTCATTTGTCACATGGAAAAGTTCAAGGATTTGGGTCTAGCACTGAGTTGGCTATTACTTGGGTGTGTCATTTAGGGTAAGTCATTTAATATCTCTCTGCTTAAATTTCCTTGTCTGTAAAATTGACAGAATAGATAAATAACTGCTAAGACCTCTTACAATTATAAAAGCCAAAGAATTCACGACCTGTCAGTTTTCAAAGATAATTAGGTTCATATTCTACCTGATGCCAGTTTTCTACTAGCTCATCCTAGATTACTAGATAGTAAAAAGTACTTTAGGTCTCACAAATAAAATTAAACAAAAAGCCAAACAAACAAAAGCAGACCAAGGTAGGTAAGGGAGACTTGCACAAATACAGCATGTTAAAAAATAAAAAAAAAAACCTCATTCAAATGTAAAGATCATAAAATATAACCACAAGCAGCATGAAGTATAAATAGGATTTTCCAGTAAAAAGAAACAGGAACAGGACCTCCCCCGCAAAAAAGAAAAATAGCCATATTCATAATAAAAGAAATGCATTATAAACTTAATGATCATTTTATAGTTAATAAATATCTTTTAAGTTATTACATTGACAATAAAATAGTACCATGAGATACAAAAATGATAAATATTAATGAATTACACCTATGGATCAAGATGGATGAATTTTGGCAGCAAAAGGTTGAGTGAAGAAGACCAAGTCATACTGAGCATCATACCATTTTCATATAATTCAAAAACTAAGGGCAAATAAACATATAGATCATATATATATGTGGTATACTCTAAAGAAAAGCAACAGAATGATTAAGAAAAAGAAAAAAAAATTCAAGACAGTATTTATTTACTTGTAATGCAAAGACAGGTGAACAGAATCAGGGAAGAAGCATAAAGGGAATGGCCACAGCATGGAGTATAATATACATGTTAAGGTGGGTGGCAGGTTCACCAATATTTGTTTTCTTACTGTATTTCACAATTTACATGCAAGTTACATCAAAGCTTTATTCCTGAAAATTTAAAAATGCTGATGACATGAACTAGGTATAATCTCTTCAAAGGGCATTATGGCAATAATATCAAGAGCTATGAAAATCTTCTAAAGATAAGTATCTTACAATAAAGCTAAAAAATCACCAAAAATATATTTTGGGGAATTTATCCTAAGAGCATAATTTGACAAAAACAAAAGCTTTTGTATGAAGATATTCAGAGAGAATTATTTGCAAAAAATTAAAATCAGAAACAAATGCCTGCCCACAGGGAAATAATAAGGTAAATTCAAGTGTATCAACTCAATACTGCCTCAGGTAACATTTTCAAAAGAAAAGATTATGATGTTTGAGAGATGCATGCAAAAATCTATGATATGATATAATATTATGCGGAACAGGCAGTCAAGAAGAGAAAGTAGTTGTGTTACAGGCTGCATTTACTGTAGTCAAGAAGTTTTGTGTATAATTATGGTTACATTATTTATAAAAAAACAAATTCAGTATTTTATTTTGAGGTTAAGCCTACTACAAAAAACAAAACAAAACAAAAGAAATGAAAGCTATCGGAAGGAATCTGATGAATGGATTTCTGAAAAAACAAATCAAGAAGTAAGCCGAATACTTAAAAAGGACCTTAATAAAGTAAAAATCAAATGAAATACTTTGAAAAACTCTATTCCTTTGCTGACATGTGTTATAATCTGATACAATCTAGTATTTTATACTGGCTACTTCTAAACTTAATAGTTGTTCTCTTCAAAATAAAGCAACACACCTTAAAATAGTGGTATCGTGTGAACTTTCTCCATCAACCTGAGTGAATGCAATATATCTTACCTGGAGTTGACGGCCTTTCAAGCATGTTTAAATGATGGGAAATGAACGCCTGGCTATCATGAACAGTATCCATATCAATCTCCTCCTCATCTTGAGAGCTTGAAAACTAAAACACACACATAAAAAACAAAGGAGCAAAAGAGCCATTATATCACTTTATGTTTGAATTTTTGCTCTTAAGAAAGGTAGCAGAAAGGCCACAGGATATACCCCCCCCAAAATCTTAAAAAAGTAGTCTTTTTCTCAAAAAGTATTAAGAGAAAGAAAAGATTATTTGGTTCAGCCTCCAAAAGAAGCTGACTGGAAATTACAGGAAATACAATAGCAACTAAAATCTGTTCCTATGTTGTGGGAAGAAATAGTGAGCTGTGGTAGATTGTGCACACACAGTTCCTCCTCCAAACAGAGAAGAAGTATGTGATAATAGAAGTTTAACAATCGGTTGGAATGTCTTAGATGGACATTTGAGTTCTTTTATGGTTCAGTCTGTCCCAACTGTTCCTGCTAAGGAAAAACCATTGCAAGTATTCAAAAAGATTTACAAGAAGGTGAATATCCTACACTGTTAATACAGGTTTAACCTGTATTTCTTACTCTGATTTTGAGTTTGACTTTACTGCTATCCTCATTCTTCTCCAGTATTTGACCAGGTTCTAGTGGGGACCCCAGTGGTGTATCAGCCTTCCTCTTCACTCCCTGCTGATGAGCTGATATATTACATGATGCTTCCTTGGCAAGGTGATCATCTTCCTGTGGCAATATTCAAGATCAAAATTAGATTTCTGAAGACAAGTAGCTCATGTTATAGCTGAAAACTAATACCTATAGCAACCATGCAGATTAGAGCATGCCCAGTGCCTAAAAGTTATCAGCAATGGGCTTAAAATAAATCTCACCTTTTCCTATCTGCTGGTCTTTTTGGGGGGGAGAAGGGAGACAGTAAAGTGAACTTTTAAAGCTTTCCCCAAAGCATATATCTTCTTTTCTTCTTTTATCCTAAAGACTCCAAGTATGAAAGTGGATAACTTAATATACATGGGCAAGAATTATAAACATATTCATTTCCACTGGTTTCTAAATATTCAAATATAAAAGGGCTCTTTAATGAGACTCTTTTTTTTCCTATTAAAAGATGTGTCTTACTTCTTCATAACCCAAACTCTAGGATACATTTTAAATTTATAACAAATAAGTATGGTTATATTTCAGAAAATCTAGGTGGATAAGTACTTTTAAATGACTATTACTAACTAGCATAAAGAGAAAATTTGAGTTTTAAAGTGTCAAAACACCAGTAGGGAATTGCCAGGCAAGTAATCTGGTCTAAATATTGGTGAAAAATGAAGCTTCAAGTACTGGGGACGTTTTGTCGTCAATAAGAAAATCATTTCTGGAAAACTTTCTTTAAATTACAGTAAAATAATTGATATGACCCTAAAGGTCTTTCTACAAGAAGCTTGGTAATTTCATAACGCACAGCTGGAAATAAAAGCTTCTCTAAAAGCGCGCGCGCGCACACACACACACACACACACACACACACACGTAAATTAAAAAATATAATGCATACTCTCCTCCCCAAATCAGCAGATGACGTTTACCTGACCATTCACTGTTATTTATTTGATTCAATAAGCATTTTCCAGGCACCCTTCGTATGTTTAGCATTGTGCTATTATGCAAAGTAGCAAAAAAAAAGTCAAGGCCCTGTGTTCAAACAGCTTGCCATTACAATATATGGACAAGATAGGTTAATATGTAATAGGTTAAATATTCATTTCAGTATTCTACTACTCAAAGTAGAAATTCTACGCTCAAGTACAAAAAAATCATGGTCCTCACAAAAAAAGGAGTAAATGGACTAGCAGCACATCATTTGTTATGTGCAGCTCTGTATAGCTGTCAGTAGCACTTTATAAGTTGTGAGTGCTAAACTAATGTCAGCTAGCAGTTTTCTAAATGGCACAAGAAGCTGTCAGTGGCTTTAAAATTCACCAGTTCAAAAGAAACAATTCTCTTCTTCAGAGCTCTACATAATAAAACTACACCTTCTATAGCACATGTGATTCTTACAGGGTTCTGAAATCCAACTAGCTGTGTGTGACTACTTGGATTAACCGCAGCTTCTTGGTTGCCTGCTATGGCCTCTGGAATTATGGTTGGATTCAAGACAGCTTTTTTCTCTTTCAGATTAAGGACCAAGCCAAGTTCTGGCAAGGGTAAGCAGGAAGGTCTACTGAGGCCAAACAGTGTGAAGTACAAGTCCACAGCACCACACCGTAACCGCCAGTCATGTGAAGTACCTAGGAAGTAAATAACAGTAATAATAAAAAGTCAACATATACGTTTATCCATACATTTTTCAAATGCTCCAGAACCTGTACAGAGGGAAGTGATGAGAGGGTTATGATACCTAAAGGAGCCACCTATTGACCTAGGCCCCGATGGCAAACCCTCCACTCTAAAGACACTTCTTATAACACGGGAACCTACAACTGTTACAGAAACAATAAATGTTCAAATGAAATCATGAATCTTACAACTGGAAAAATTTTATTCTTTCATTCTTCCTACAAAATAAAAATTAGACACCTAGTATAAATCTAATATTCCCAAAACAGTGTTTTTCCTGGCTCTAAATCCTCCTTTTATTTATTTATTTTTTTTGCTATATGCGGGCCTCTCACTGTTGTGGCCTTTCCCGTTGCGGAGCACAGGCTCCGGACGCTCAGGCTCAGCGGCCATGGCTCACGGGCCCAACCGCTCCGCGGAATGTGGGATCTTCCTGGACCGGGGCACGAACCCGTGTCCCCTGCATCAGCAGGCGGACTCTCAACCACTGTGCCACCAGGGAAGCCCTAAATCCTCCTTTTAGTTCCTCCTCCTTGGTAACTGCTCCACATTCATTCATTCTCTGTTTATCTTGTCTGATTTTCTTCTTGAATAGCTTGTTAGGAAGACGGCACACCAAGAGCCTTCATGAACCCTACCACTGGAAACAAATTCTCCTAACCCTCAAATTTATTACTTTCAGGTTTTAAATACAGTAAGAAACCTACAACTATTTGAAATAACACAATTCTAAACTTTGACTTATTTTAGAGAAGGAAACTATTTTGCTAAACACCTTCATATTTGTGTTCTAGTAGGTATTTATTTAAAAAAACCAAAAAACAAAAATAAGCAAACCCCGGAGATGGCAACAGGTCATAAAGCATGTATTGACCAGAAGAAAACTGCATCTGTAGAAATTCAGTTTAAAGTAGAGACACTTTCCAATTTCTCTGATGAGTCTCAGTGTCTTCATCTCCCAAGTAAGGGTTTTGGTCTCATATTATACCTTACCCTACAGCAATAAAAGACCAGAGCACAGTGACAGCAGAACTCTTCCTCACTTGCCTTCTTTTCCCCAGTGGAACACTCCAGGTAGATACTGCCACCAAACAGAACTGTCAAGGTGAAATTATCATCTAGGTTTAGATAATTTCTATGGTTTCTAGGCAGAATCTAAAATGACCTAGAGAATTTAAAACATGTGAGAATAAGAAATATTCTTCTGGATAAGAAAAATAAACCATATAAATACTTAATTTTGGCCAAGAAATGTGGTTTCAAACGGGTACCATAATGTTTTAAAAGGGAGAAACGAAAAGGAAAGAAGTTGCTACAGCAAACTTTAGACAGCATAAATATTAAGCTTTGTGGTTTTCAACAACAAATATTAGAATAAGTAAATACATTGTAATCAAGTACGATTTTGATAAGATTTACTCTGACAGTTAGGTAACTATTATATTAACTATGTGCAAAGAACATCCACATGGATTTATAATTTTAATTTACAGAGTTCTTACTATATACTACACACTTGCTCGGCAATATGCATGCCATTAAACAGCTATCAATCCTATTTGAGACATCTTCAGTTTTGCTACTGTGTGATAAGGTAACAGATACATAACACTGCTGGAAGCAAGAGAAAGAGGCAGGAGCTCGAGAAGTATGAGTTTTTATATCATAAAAACTACAGAGAAACCAGAAATCGGAAGAACAGTACAGAGTAAAAGTAAGGATTTTATACTGGAAATCCATTTCCTTCTCTGGAATATCCATACTTGGACACTTTAATGGACTGACATTGCCTAGTTTTTTGTAGGCACTCATTATTCTTCTCCTCAAAGAATTTTACATATGTAAATGTTCCACAAAGGATAGGTATCAGATTCCTGGGCCTTTTATTACAAAGGCTGGAGGGGCTCAACCCTCTCAGGAAAGGGAGGGAATCCGGCCAGAGCAGCTAGCCCTGTATCTATCTATTTATTCATGGGTATAGCAAGAAAAGAAGTGAATCTCAGGCACTTTATCAGTAAAAGAAGCTAGAATGGCTTAGGGTGCATTTACACTGGAAAAAAACTTCACCTTGAAGAGCAGTATTGCCCAATTATGTCCACTGCAAATAATGATCCTGGAATCTTTATATAATGTAGATGACATTGAAACAAGTCAAGCAACTGAGTATGAATTCCTAAAAGTTTCTTTAAAAATTAATTTTAAAAAGCAAGTAGATTATATTTTGATGAGCTAGGGTGTTGTTTTGTTTTTTGAAAGTCAGCTAAGGATGGTTAGGCAGCACAGTGAATGAAGGCTGCTAAAAGCACTGAACCTCTAGAATATGGTTTTTGTTACTTTTTATTTCTATGTGGGCTTTTTGGTTTTGGATTTGCAAAGGTTTTGGTAGACCTTCAATTTGTAGGGAGGAATAAGCATTATTCTTCTGTTCCTGGGGAAGTCCTTGATTAAATATTTTTTTCCCACAAAAAACTGACTTATAAATATTACAATTTAAGGCTGATAAGAGGGAGCTAAAAAAATAAGCAGCGCTTCTGTTAAAATTATAAGACAGAAAAAAAAATGAGAACATCATGTTTCAAAATCATGGCATAAAATCTTAAAATGATTGTCACTTTATAGTGGAATATAGTCGGAAAAAACACTTCTGCTTACTTACTAGTCAGCCCTGTGATTTTGGGCAATTCAGCTGCCCAGGCCATAAAGTGAGAACAATTAACTTAATCTTTAAGGTCCTCTCAGGTCTAAAATTCCATGATTCCAAATCAACCAATTCTATGAGAAATAAGCCCTGAAAGAGCTCCTGATTTCTACCCTCAGTGATAGCATTCTGAAGACCCTTCTTTTTTTTTTTTTTTTTTTCTTGCGTTATGCGGGCCTCTCACTGTTGTGGCCTCTCCCATTTGCGGAGCACAGGCTCCGGACGCGCAGGCTCAGCGGCCATGGCTCACGGGCCCAGCCGCTCCGCGGCATGTGGGATCTTCCCGAAACGGGGCACGAACCCGCGTCTCCTGCATCGGCAGGCGGACTCTCAAGCACTGCGCCACCAGGGAAGCCCTGAAGACCCTTCTTTAATCTTCTAGCTACCCCTCCCAACACAATCACTTATATGGCAAGGAATGCCCATATATATGGAAAAACAAGTCATTATTTTTTCCTCTCAGGTAAAAATGCTGTCCATTCTGGTCTCATTAGCAGTTATACTTTGGGACAAGCCCTGCTTACCTGAATCAGAAGAACAATGCTCAGGGTTGATGTTCTCTATTCAAATCAGAAAGTATCTAAAGACAAATCCTCCAAATAACAAATCTAATCTTAAAAAAGATCATCACTTAATTTTCTGAAGTAATTGACATTAAAGCTGATCAAGCCAAAAAGCTGCTAAGAAGAAAGCTCACTTTAAAAGCCACCATTTTCAGGACATTTTTCTTTTTTTTGGCTGTGCCCTGTGGCTTGCGGGATCCTAGTTCCCCAACCAGGGATCAAACCCATGCCCCCTGCAGTGGAAGTGCAGAGTCCAAAGCATTGGACTGCCAGGGAATTCCCCAGGACATTTTTCAATAAACCCAGCACTCCTTATTGATGACAGAAGCTTAAAAATTTGTACAGCTAGGCCACACAAGTATGACTGCCATATGGTAGTTCTGCCCCGATCTTTATGTCTATCTTACACTAAAGTAAAAAAACAGGAAATTTCATATATATTCATGTGTGCATTTACATATATAATTTCTGACAAAAAAATGAATTATGTCTAATAAAAATGTTTTAATTTTCTTCCACCATTCCTATTTCTAAGAGGAAGGGTTTGGGGGAGACAGAAACAGAGGGGCGGAACTTTGAAATCTGATGTTAATATCAAAATTGTTTATTTTCTTATTCTGGAACCTGGCAAATCCTACCGAACTGAATTTTAAGTAGTCCTTCATTCTACCCCCTAGAGCGCAGCTGTAAACTTTCAAACATTAAAAGTTATGATGTAAATAAACAGCCTTCAATGTTCTGAATAATTACATGTTTTTATGTCATTCTTACAGTGAAGTGCCAAACAATGAAGAGCAGCTTGTGAGTAAGGGCTAAAATTTCCTTCATGATGATACAGTATCTCTTCAATGAATGCTTATTATCATAAGGGGGAAAAAAAAGCATTGTTAAGCAGGCAAGACCAGAGAAAGTAGTTACATTTTAAAATACAGTATTTTAGACATTGTGGGCCTTTTGGTCTCTGTTCAATTACTCAGCTCTGATGCTGTAGTGTAAAAGCTGCCATAGACAATACGTAAGTAAATGAGCAGGACTGTGTTCCAATAAAATTTTATTGGTGGATGCTGACATTTTAATTTCATAAAACTTTCAGGTGTCATGAGATACTAGTAACATTTTTTCCAATCATTTAAAAATGCAAAAGCCATTCTTAACTTATGGGCTGTACAAAAACAGACAGTGGGTCAGATCTGGCCCTAGAGCCACTGTTAGCTGACCTCTGTTCTAGATGACATATATACTTTGAAATCTGTAGAAATGAATTAGTACAAGTACATAAAAATTTACAACTGAAATTTACTGATGAACATGCTAATGAATAACAACATATTGATGGGACATCATCATGCAGCATTAATTTACTGCACAGAGTTCCAAACACTTATCTGGCTGTCAGTTTACATGTAACTCTGTCAATAACAGTGCCAGTGGAGAATTTGTTCTCAAACTGAAAATTTATTAAACATGATTTAAGGTCTACAGTATTACAAAAAATGTAGTCTAGTCCAGTGGCCATTTCTATAGAATGAGACACGGTTACAAATAAATACTGGAATTGCTATAATAAATTTATTTGCTATGGAAGAATGATGTTTAATTATTTTAAACAAATTACTATAATTAGTTAACATTTTTTATTACTGTGATTACAATTTTGAATTTTGTATTTTATGTTCAGTAGTTTGATTTGTGAATTTTATAAAGAATGACTTTACACCTGTTGCAGCTGTTATAACTGGGAAATAAACACTATAGTGACTTTTAAAAAATTTCTGATTCTTAGGTTTTTATTTTTTAAACGAATTTTTAAAATTACTGTCATGTTGAGCTATAATCCAGTGCTTTACCTAAAAGCTACAAAAGGTAGGATCTCATATATTTTTGAAACATTTTTCTTTGGGAAAGGGAAACGATTTCTTTCAGTGTGCAAAAAAATACATAGAGCTAACAGAAGTCAGACAGGTCATAATTCCACCTGCTCCTTGCTGCCTACAGGATAAAACACAAATTCCTGAGGCCCTTTGCTTTTGGACCCTAGTCTATTTTTCCAGATAACACTCACTATTTTCCAAATATCCTTTCAGAACTCAAAGGTTTTACATATACTTAATTCTCTTACCTAAAATGTCTTTCTCCTGACAAACTCTCTTCCATTCCTCAAGAGCTGGCTCAAATATCACCACTCCATGAATAGTCCAGCATTCCAGGCAGGGCTCACGGTTCTCTTCTTTAGGTTACCAGGGTATTTTGCTCTTCTCTTTATTTTAGCAACTACCTGTTTGTATTATGGTTTATCTGTTCCTATGTCTCTCTTTCCATTATACTAAGTTAGTGGAAAAGGCATCTTTTGTATGCAAAAACATAGCACAGGGGCTTCCCTGGTGGCGCAGTGGTTGGGAGTCCGCCTGCTGATGCAGGGGATGCAGGTTCGTGCCCCGGTCTGGGTAGATCCCACATGCCGCGGAGCGGCTGGGCCCGTAAGCCATGGTTGCTGAGCCTGCGCGTCCGGAGCCTGTGCTCCGCAATGGGAGAGGCCACAGCAGTGAGGCCCACATACTGCACCAAAAAAAAACAAAAAACAATAGCACAATGGCAAGCAGGAGGTGCTCAAGAAATAACTGATGAATAAATTAATCCTTGAAACCCTTAAAAAGAATTGCCCCTGGACAATGTAATATTTTAAACTAAAAATAAAACTATTTAAGATTCTTAAGCAACGAGGGATGAAGACTATATAATGTGAAAGATGTTTCTCTTTAAAAATGTTTTACTTTCTATGGAGGATTATTCTTTAAAAGCTGTATGGGAACTATAAGGACATTTTTGGGGACAACTGAGGAAACCTGAATATGGGATATATATGATAATGGTATTGTGTATATGCAGGAGAATGTCCTTATTCTTAGGAATATATGCTTAGTATTTTGGGAAAAGTATCATGAGGCAACTTATTTTCAAATGATTCAGAAAAAGAGGGTTTGTAACATATACATAGAGAGTGAAAAGAGAGAAAGTAAATATGGTAAAATGTTAACTAGTTAACAGAGTTAAAAATATTCAATATATGGTTATTCTTTATACCATTTTTTAAATTTTTCTAAGCTTTGAAAATTTCAGAAACAAAATGGTGGGGAGAAAATGTTATATGGGAAAATTAAACCAGTGAATGAGTTAAGATATCTAATATGAGTATGCATGTGTACATACATCTATAGTTGTGTGTGTGTGTGTGTGTGTGTGTATTTTCACAGCAAAAACTGTTAGGAAGATACCTGAGTAGCGCCCAAAACTCAAGGATAAGTGGAGCTACCACACAGCAGGCAGAGTGCAGATACCAGGCAGTCCTGGCATCTTGAGAGTAGAAGTCTGAGAACCCTCCTTCTGGCACAGAGCCATTAAAATCCCCCCGGTACATTTCTAAAGAGTATTACTAATAGTCATTGAATGATATATCAATTTTTTAAAAAGCACAAATGTGATTTCTTAGTTCATCTTGCTTTCAAACTAATTTCAATTTTCTAAATCCTGTTTCTATGTATCCTACTACAATTAATCTATTATTGAAAAGTTTCTGAAACCAGCTAAGCAAAGAAACTTTGATTCCTCAAGAGTACCTGATGACCATCTCATAAGATGATCCTTCCTTAACTGCCATGATACGTCTCCATATATTTTAAATGAGTTCAAAAATTTTATAACTAAGCAAAGTCAACACCTCTCAAATCCACCTTGGAACAGGACAAAAATAAATGAATGAATATAATTAAATCCCTATCGCCCACAATTTATTTGTTCTCCATATGTAAATCAAGATAATGCTTATCTCAAGTGACGTGATAACCCAGGAACCCCAATAAGGAGTAAGGGGCAGGCAGAGTTCCAAAGGATTTAGGGACTTAGATGATGCTCTAGCTCCTTCTGTTACAAGTGAGTTCTCATTAACAGTTCTTAAAACAGTAACTGTTAAGAGGATAATATAGCAATGTGAAAAATTCTCATGAAAAAATGCAATTTAAAAACTTCACTACAACTTTGTCCATACACATATACACAAAAAGCAATTTTTTTCCCTAAAGACCAAATACACTCAAATCTGAACAGTGGAGATATAATGAAATTATATAGTATTTTCCTTTTTTGTTATTTTGTGCAGACAAACTCTGCAACATGATATTACTTATTATTGGAAAAAAAAACTTTAAAGGAATTTCTTAGGTAAGATTCATTTATGTATCCCAGAGGCCCAGGCTTGGAAGGGAAATGGGCAACCTTCTAATCAATCTTCCCTAATGCCCAATGTTCTCCAAAAACATTAAAAAGAAAAACAAAACCAAAAACCCTCCCAATTATTTGTGCCACTCCCACTGTTCATATTGCTCCCAGTTATTTATCTGAAGAACCAAGCAAAAAACTGTTTATGACCATGGCCTCACTGATCTGTTCTGTTTAGATTATTGGCACAGAGAATTCCAAACTGAAGCAGTAACTGTACTTTATACTGAACACTATCAAAAATAAATACTAAACATCAATCAGACCTTGAGTTTGTATAACCACAATCTTCCAATGGGCTTCAAATGTTTTACAGAGGTTGTCTCATTAATCTTAAACACACATTTATTTTGTCCATGAAATCTTCCCTAGAAGGTGATATGAGAATTCTTTGTACTTCATTATGCTTTCCTCAAAGTTGTAATCCATCACAACCATGGAATCATGCATTCTTATTAAGAATATATTCAACACAGAACAGTTTGTGCCACATATTAACTGCTGAATGATCCTTTACAAGTTTGTGAACTTGTGTGCTCATCCCCTGGATCTAAATGACAGTAATCACAACATTCTTTAAGGTAACCACAAGTAGCAAAATATAAAACATTATGTAAACAGTAGCATTTACTCTTCTAGGTATTAGGGAAAATATGAGAATAATAATTTGGCAATATCGACATAAACTGGATTATGTGTTGTTTTCTGAATATTTTGAGGACAAGGGCCATTCTATTTTTAATTTTATTAAATTTCAATGAAATATCTACAATGGTGCCTTTACTTGGGGTTATTGGACTATGATTATGAAACTGAGGGACAGAAGTTATACAACCACAACACCTCAGTGATAGTAAATTAAATAATTTTTGAAAAAGAATCAGAACTTGGTATTTAGTTGTGATTCAGTGAAGCAGTCACTAATAAGATAGGCAGGGCAAGTTATTTTCCAATATTCTAGAAAGAAGGTAAAGTGACATATTTATTAGAACGAATACCCACTGCTCCCTCACCATATATCTGTAACAACTTGTCTTTAAGCAAAGCACTTTTCAGCCTAGCTTTTGATTGAATTTTAAATCAAAACCAGTGAATTTTAAATCAAAACCAGTATTACAATTTCAACATATCAGAGACATAAGGCAAATTTTCTTTACATATATACTACAGTTAGAAGTCAATAGGAAAAGACCAATAATTCAATTAAATAAAAATGGCAAAGAATATGAATGACTTACATGAAAGGAACTACAAATAGCTGACATATATGAGAAGTATAATGATATCATTACTATGTTAGTATAACAACATTTTTGAGCACATAATATGAACTAGTTACTGTGCTTTACAAATATGAACTCATTTAATTTTAAACTGAAAAAATTTAATTTTCAGTTTGCAGAAGTAGGTATCATCATCACCTGCATTTTAAAAATGAAAAATGATAGGCTTAGACAAGTCACATTGAGAGTAAGTCATCCAGCTGAGACTTAACCCTCAGCAAACTAGTTCCAGAGCTCATGCTTGGGAGCACTAACCGCCTCTTGACTTCACTTAAATAATGGAAATTAAAACTGTGATGAGATACCATGATCTCCAAGGTGCAGAACAGTAACAATATGTACTGCTCTGAAAAGGATACACAAGAAATTGGTTACCCTCTGGGAAAGGCCACTAGGAGGCTAGGGAAAAGAGGTGAGAAGCCATTTTTTCAACCCTCTGTAACCTTCTGAAATAAAAATAACAATAATATTTGCAAATTCATGTCTACAGCTCTTTAAACATTTGAGACACTTTCCCATAAATTAATATTTTTGTTTCCTCAACCACCCTGTGGGGCAAAGTGAGTGTCTATGTCCTTAGCAAATATAATCACAGCCACCACTGTGAAGGTAAGTATTCTCCTTTAAAAAAAAAAAAAGGACAAAAATTAACCATAGTTCTTTAGTATGGATAACCTGTTATAAAATGAAAATACCCCAATAATAAAAAAAATTTGTAAAGCCATTGCTGTCTTACCAGAATTCATAAGTTTCCAAAGTTGATCTACCAAAGCTTCATTGCATAAGGGAGACTCCATGTTCTTAGTAAATGGTGGGTTCTTAGTTAACATGTTTAGAATCTTATGTCTGAAAGATAAAGAAAAATTAAATTTTTGCTAACCATTAAATAAAAACTTTTGAAAATTATCTGCAGTTCCTCCTTCCTATTTTATCATCTCTCTTCTGAGATCTAGTTTTGTGTTTTAGTTCCATTTCAAAAGACATTATGTTGCATTCTAAACATTTACTATTGTTTTTTACTAAAAAATTCTGGTGGATTTGTTCTCTCTAAAAGTGCCTTAGGGTACAATGAGGTCTTCTAAAACCTGACTCTATATATTCCTAACCAACATTTCCTATCCCACTTCTAAAATGAATAAATTTTACTCTTCTTAGAAAAGTTTACAAAAAAGACTGGTTAGTAAATATAAAAATCTTAAAATGAGGCAAAAAAAAATTACATGTAGGCCAAGAAGTCTACATTTGAGACAATAAATATAAAATTTATTCTTATAGTAACTTTGCAAAGCATGAAAATGTGCAGCACTATTTTAAATATGGAGATTGCAAAAAGGTTTCCTCAAAATAAGCTGAAGTTTAAGAGAGTCAATTAAGAAAAGTATCCTCACAGAGGGTAGGAGTTAAACTCCACTATTGGAAGTTTTTATCTTACATGAAAGGCTACCCAAACACATTATGGAGTCTTCTGAAAAATAGGACAATATGACCAATACAAAATTTGAAAAACAAATGCCCAATGCTACGAGCAGGAGACACCATAAAAAAAGAATAGAGAAAAGGAGAAGCAAGGAAGCCACGGCAGTAGTCTAGCATTCAGGATAAAAGCCAGGTCTAGGACTAGGTCTGAGAAATTCAAGATCTCAGAATAATGGAAGGCTTGGGTATAACTAAGGAAGAAAGAAACTTAGGTCATTATATTTGTTGAGGTTAGCAAGACCTTAAAGAAGGTGAACCTGGGAAATTTTTACATTTAGTGGCAAGAAATCAAATTGGATTTGTACTTGAAAAAAAGATGGGAGGAAAGCAGAACTGCAAGGTTGTAGTTTAAGTCACTTAACCCCTTTTGGCTTCAATATCATGTCTGTAAAACTGAAAGATGTGACTTTCACTGTTAACATACTTTTGTGATTTGAAATTTTAAGACTGAAGACTATTGAAAGGCTACGAGAACCAAATGTGAAATGTGGTTATAGATGCAATTTATACATAGGTAATATGAAAGGGGATACATACCTTATGGATATTTCATATCCATATTTTCATATTTTTATGAGTAAAGATATTTTCATATCTTTATGAGCAATTTCTGTTTGTAAGAATAGATCAGTATTACAGGTAAATAACACCGTTTAAAACGTGGATGGATTTTTCTTTAGAAGATGTTAATGTTAATACTTTTAATTTGCATGAAGAAGAAAAGTTAAGTTTCTATCCAGCTGCTTCCCCAATTACCCCAAATACCAAAGTGGTAGGGCCCAACAAATAAAACTTTATGGTATTTACTCAGATCATTACAAACTCTTTACAGCCATGCCAATGAATTGTAAATGGTACTCTGGGGATAGCTCTGAAATTATAATTAAAAGAGCAATAATGATTATTATGTGTACTACTTTTAGTAAATTAAGCATTTTTTCAAAAGTTATTTTTCTTTAAAGTTTAGATGATAGAAGAAAGGCTTTTCACAAGGAAGTATTTGTAACTGACTAAACACTCAATGCAATACTCAGAGGAGATAAAGTTTAAGGGCAGAAAATGAGAATCTTATGCTTAATTTTTTAGAGAGTAAACAAAATTCACAATAAGCATACACTTCAGATATACGAAACAGACCTGAAGCAAATCCTGAGAAAATCATGGGTTTATGCCATGTTCATGGTAGCAAAAACATCACATTATTTCCCTAAACAACTGACAAATTTCTTGGTGGACTAGTCCAATTCCATTGCCAATCACTATCTATAAGAAATGCAGTCAAATCGAAACCAGAAAAATGTTCAAAATCTCTCTGGAGAAAAGGCATTGAGTGTAAGTGTGCCCCTTGAGGAACTGATATATTGTGATCATATATGCATGCTTGATTCCAACATGAGAAGATAATTCCGTGTCATCTTTAAAATAATGCTACCCAAATCTAAAGTAAATATATTTAATAAGTTCTTCTTATTAATGTAAAAAGTAATATACATACATAGAAATGACCGGAAAGGAATAATCCAAAATGTTAAGAATTATTGCTCTGATTGAAATAATTATACGCTATTTTTTAAGTTGTCTTCTTAATGTGAGTTTATATTTTTCCAAGTCTGAATGAGCATTTTAAATTATTCCCATTGAAAGGAAACTGTAATTCTCAAAAATGTAAATTTCATTTGTTTTAAAAACAATGCACCAACCAAAGCACACTAATTTAAATTCTTAAGATATCCTAATAAAGAACTGATTTACAATCTGAAAATCTTTTATTCATTTATTTATTTTTGGCTGCATTGGGTCTTTGTTGCTGTGCACAGGCTTTCTCTATTTGTGGTGAGCGGGGTCTACTCTTCGTTGCAGTGCAAGGGATTCTCATTGCGGTGGCTCCTCTTGTTGTGGAGCACGGGCTCTAGAGCTCAGGCTCAGTAGTTGTGGCGCACGGGCTTAGTTGCTCCGCGGCATGTGGGATCTTCGGGCTCGAACTCGTGTCTCCCGCATCGAGAGGCGGATTCTTAACCACTGTGCTATCAGGGAAGCCCTGAAAATCTTCTATTGAGAGAATACTATACAAGGAAAGCCAACAACCCTATTATTACATTTAAAACATCAAACCCAAATAAAAGACCAAGAACTTTCCCAAACATTTAAAAATAATTAAACAGCTTAAGGTTTTTTTCTACATACAGTTATCACCACAGAGATAAAATCACTTTTCTTTAACATATGAATTAAGTTAAACATATATATGATTAGAGGGGGAAAAATTATATCCAACCACTTGTTTAACATGTATTTAATTACCTATATGCAAAGCATCATGCTATGTGCCAGACATACAGTGGCAAAAGGAGACAAGGTCCCTGTCTTTTTAAAACTTATACTCTCATGGGGGAGACAGCAGTAACAAAAAAAATCAAATTATAATAATACACATACATAGGAAGTATGTATGTACTTGAGTAAAGGAACAACTGTAGGATTTTATGGGCAATTATGACTTGAGGGACCTGACCTAGTGCAGGTAGTCAAGAAAGTATCCTTGTAGAAATGGTGTTCAAATTTAGCTTTAAAGCATAAAGGAGTAATTACAAGTAACTAATTTCTTTCCTCTAAATTTTAAGGTTTCAGCCCCCAAATTCTTCAGAGCTTTATCTAACTCTAAAAAAATCAGCAATTGTGATATACATAATAATACAGAAATTTTTAAAATCAACATTTAAAAAAAATTTAATTCTTATTAATGGCCATCTTACTATTAGGAGTTTAAAAATCAACCAAAAGCCATAAAAATAAAACGCTTTTTTGGGGGCAGGAGAGACGAATGTCACTGATTTTAAGACAGACAGAAACAGAAACGTTTACCTACCTTTAAGAATTCTATCCAATTAACACAGCAGAATATAGCAGTTCTATATGATGGCTACTCAACCAGTTTAAGAAAAAGTAACAGAACAGACTGGTGGTTGCCAGAAGCAGGAGCTGGGGGGTGGTGAAATGGGTGAATGTGGTCAAAGGGTACAAACTTCCAGTTATAAAATAAATAAGTCATGGGGAGGTAATATATAGCATGGTGACTATGGTTAGTAATACTGTGTTGCATATTTGAAAGTTGCTAATAGATCTTAGAAGTTCTTATCAAAAGAAAATAATCTGCAACTATGTATGGTAATGGATGTTAACCAGACTTATAGTGGTGATCATTTTCTAAAACACAGAAATATGGAATCAACATGCTACACACCTGAAACTAATATGTCAATTACACCTCAATATAAATAGATAGGAAGGGAGGAAGGAAAAGAAAAGGTAATGATGGGGACAAAGAGAAAAGGACAGAGTTCCTATTTCAAAGCACAAAAAATAGAGGAAAAAAAAATACCCACCAAAATAGAGACAGATATCCCAAGACACCAAATAATACACACATACAATAACTGTTGATGTGGTAACACTCCTATCCTGTGACCATTCACTGCCATTAAAGACTTTTTTTAAGACTTGTTGAACTTTTTTAAACTATAACTATGGGCTAGATGATATGAAGTAAAGCCTAAGAGGTTCCGTATTCGTGATATAAATGAATCACATCACTTATGAAGTAAACACATCAAATATAATCATGAAATATATCTTTATACAGATTTTCAGTTTAGAATGTAAATAACAGTGCTCTTAAAATTTAAATGACATTAATAGCTCCACATTTCAAAAGCAATCATTTAGACTGTACAGTATATAATTTAGAAACATAACTACAAGTATTACATAATATTATAATCTGCTGAAAATGATCCACAAAACACAATTTTAAGATCTCAGAAATATGTGCCTTGGGGCTTCCCTGGTGGCGCAGTAGTTAAGAATCTGTCTGCCAATGGCAGGGGACGCGGGTTCGAGCCCTGGTCCGGAAAGATCCCACATGCCGCAGAGCAACTAACCCTGTGCGCCACAACTATTGAGCCTGCGCTCTATAGCCCGTGATTCACAACTACTGAGCCCACACACCACAACTACAGAAGCCCACGCGCCTAGAGCCTGTGTTCCGCAGCAAGAAGCCTGTGCACCACACGGAAGAGTAGCCCTTGCTCGCCTCAACTAGAGAAAGCCCATGCACAGCAATGAAGACCCAATGCAGTCAAAAATAAAAATAAGTTAAAAATAAATTTAAAAAAAAAGAAATATGTGCCTTGATATTAGTTCTTGATGTGAATTGAAAACATAAATGAATACATGATAAGCTTTATTTATACTGTATTTATACTTTCTGTCCCTACTTGTCATCAGCAGCATCTTATTATAAACTTTCAAATACATGAGCTCTGTCAGATAAAGAGATGAGGCTGGTTTCCTGCCTATTCTCTTTTATATGAATATTTACTTCAGAATGGGTGATTATGAGATTTTTGTCCATGTCAACCTTACCCCTGGTACACATCAATACAAGGACAAATTATTTAAATTACAATTCAAATCACAAATCAAGAACTATGAAATACAAAGAGAAGAACTTTGTACAAAGAATATTTATTTAATAAGCATCATTTAAAACACTGAAATATAGATTTCAGTTAGCTGAAATCCCTTAGTTACATGGACTCTTCATGCTCAGATGCATTTCAGTGAAGTTAAAAGGCAGAGTTTATTTGTATGCTTTTTTAGATGAAAAATATCTGCCAACTGATGTGTAAAGTTGAAGAAGACAATGTCTCTAGGTCTGTGTTCTTATTTCTAGTTGGAATAGCTAAAATCTAAATTACCTTCCAGCTTTCAAATTTCATTTTATGAGACTGAATTATTACAACATATGAACACAAATTTGAGTCTACTAGGTGTAAAGAAAGGACGGCAGAAATGGTAAAAATTTTAATCCTGCTCGAATACACTATAAATATCCTACTTTGCAAAAGAAAGCAGCAGAAATGAAAGAAATGAAGAAGAAAATACAAAAATGAAAATAGTTACCATGTCAGGACCAGGATTTTCTTTTATTATCCCTTATTTTCTAAATTTTTAACAATGTCATATTACATTTTTAAATCCTAAGTCCATTTATTAAAAATTAAGATTCTATATAAGATAGAAAGGAACAAATGGGATACATCAAAACACTGCTCTTATTTACTTTTAAAATAGATTAAATCAATTGATACAGAGGTTTTAGGATAAGGGCTTCCCCCATGTGCACTAAAAACAGATACACAAGCTTTTCTTTAAGTTACAATAGAAATCACATGTAAAATTCAGGGAATTACCCTTAGTAACAATGTATTTTTTAAAATGTCTTTCCAAAGGCAAATAAAATAAAAAAGGACATGAGTAAATGGATAACATATTCCTATATTTTCAAAAATTATATACATGTTCCATATACATGGAACAAGTATAATGCTCTGAAATTATTTACTTTAGGACTTACAAAAACAAAATATTACAGCATAAAAAAACTAACCTGGGCTTCCCTGGTGGCGCAGTGGTTGGGAGTCCGCCTGCCAGTGCAGGGGGCACGGGTTCGATCCCTGGTCCGGGAAGATCCCGCGTGCCGTGGAGCGGCTGAGTCTGTGCGCCACGGCTGCTGAGCCTGTGCTCTGGAGCCCGCGAGCCACAGCTGCGGAGCCCGTATGCCACAACTACTGAAGCCCGTGCACCTAGAGCCTGTGTTCCACACCATAACGAAGAGTAGCCCCCGCTCACCGCAACTAGGGAGAGCCTGTGCGCAGCAGTGAAGACCCAACGCAGCCAATAAATAAATAAATAAATAAATAAATAAATAAAATTTAAAAAACTAACCTTACATAGGGTACAGGGTCATTCTGAATCATATTAAGTAGCCATTGCAATTCTTCATAACTCCTGTCCACTGAAAATAAAAATAAAGAAATACTTTTGTTGTTAATTATAACAAATTTAAACAAGTGACAAATAGGGAATTTACACTTAATATTTAGGATTCTGCCTTAGCCATACTTCCAATCAGAGTTGAAGGATGTAGGTGATTTCTTATGTTTTAATGCAACAGGCCACTTGGCAAATTTTACAAGTACTGTGCTATATATGTAGCCAAAACATAAAACAGGACCAAGAGTATATTTTCCACTAAGGCGCAAATCAACAGTAAATACAACATAAAACAAATTGTAATTTATTAAGAGCTCTAAATTAGAGATGATTAACTCTAAATGGAAATGTGTTTAAATTATTTTTATGGATGCTTAAATCAAATTATAGAGAGGTTCGATACTCAATGGTATCTCAACTATATCATACAGTATGGTAAACAGTTTCTGCCCAAGTGGTTTCTTTCATTTAAGACAAAAGAGCAGCCTTAACTTTTCACTATAACATAAGAAACTACAAAACTAGTACTATAAATATAATTAACTTTAACAAAATAACTTATTAGCTATTTCCATTTACCTTTTCAAATAGTATTGCTTTTATAATTTGAAAAGCTTTATTTTTAGAATTTTATTTCTAATATTTTCCACTTTTTCAATTTCTAATGAACTGGATTTATGGCTCACACTTAAACATCTCTCAATTAAATTACACTTATTAATTTAGCATTCTTTTTGGAAATCATAATATTAGCATTCTATTTGATTTCAGGTAGTGCTAATTCATGAATTCTTCATATTATATGATTTATGTGAGTGAACATCATTCATATACCTTGGCTGGGAATAATGGCATATTTGGTAGACCTCAAGATTTCCGTATTTCACAAATTGGTAAAAGGCGAAATAAAACTGAAAACTGACATAGGATTACATTTTTTTTCTTGCCAAGAAATACGTGAAAAACATTCTTATTTTAACCAGCATTTTTTAAAAGAAAGACTACTTTAACCCTCAACAAAAAGGAAGAACAAATGAGTCCTTTCTGAACTTGGGCCAACACATATAACACACACACTATATTGTTCTTACTCTTTTATAATGTCTTTCTAGAAGCAGTATTTCTATTGAAATTTACAAAAAATTATAAGGATTTGAGTATATTTTCCTCTACTTAACATGAGAAACTTAACCAATATCTACTAAAGAATTTCCCGCACCCATTCCTCTCTTTCTACATTCAGATGAGAATGTTATCATAACTTCTTTATTCTTCCCATATTTTGGTATAATCTGGAATTTTAGATTAATTTACATAGTTCTTATACTATGTTATTTTTTAAGAATTTCTTTGAAATTTGCATTAAATTTTACAACCATGTTAACAAATATTTAAGCTTAGCTCTTTACTTTATAGGCATAGTTGCTTGTCACTGGGCCTTTCATATCACACTTTCATCAATCTTGAGTTATTATTTTGATTCCTTTACAGGTCAGCTGAAAATTATCTTTCAGAATTTTGTTTTTTAAAATGTTACATAGGAGATGTACTTCTAAGTCTTCAAGGCTATAGGAACAACTTGGCAAAGTAGAAAATCTTAGGTCATAATTTTCCCTAAGCATTATGTTAGCCTGTGTTCACTGTCTTTTGAACTCTTCTTATTCTGAAGAAGTTACAGACCACAGTATTCTTTCACCTTGTACAATAACTGGGGTCTGATATTCCTAGGAACTCATACATTTTTTCCTTAACCTTAAAATTTTAAATTTCATCAGAATCTAGCTTAGGTCAGTCACATTTACCCTCTTTCAAAGTATGCTATTATTTCTGGGATTATTGCTTTTCTTCCACCTGCTCTATTCTTTATGACAATTTTTTTTTTGTGTGTGGTACGAGGGCCTCTCACTGTTGTGGCCTCTCCCGCTGCAGAGCACAGGCTCCGGACGCACAGGCTCAGCGGCCATGGCTCACGGGCCCAGCCGCTCCGCGGCATGTGGGATCTTCCCAGACCGGGGCACGAACCCGTGTCCCCTGCATCGGCAGGTGGACTCTCAACCACTGTGCCACCAGGGAAGCCCTTTATGACAATTTTTTAAAACACTTTCATCTCCTTAACTTTCTTCTCTGTATTTCTGAAAATGTTTTGAATATGTAGTGTTCTCTTATTCATATTTTTCCTTATGTTTTTTTTCAACTTCACAAAGCCTTGCATAATCCCCCTCCTGAAGTTCCTACTTGTATCTCTTGCTCTACTTTCACAGATAAGAGTTTCGACAGTACAAAATGTGTGTATTACTTCAATATACTGATGTTTAAAAATCCATTGAGATGGAGTGAATAAATAGTATATTCACCGTGTGGCTGTGAAACACTAGCTGACTGATCAAAGAGATGCTACAGTTGAAACTAGAGCACCGTGAGTGCCATTTCTTTAGAAAATTATGTTTTCTTATCATTTGTTTTAGTCTTTCATTCATATCCAGCCAGAGGCGGTAAAATATCGGTGCACCGATGATAAGTAAATGTATGGTAACGTAGGATGTATAAAGGTCTCAGAAGAGCAATTAATAGGTAGCAGGTATTTAAGCAGCAAAGTGAATCATTCCCTTTAGAACCAATAAAGTTGCACAAATGAGTGTTCCTCAGCTTTACAGGCATCGTGGCGTTAGCAAGTCAATGGAGCGGTTACCTTGGACGGCACCTGAGTGTAAAATCACACTTGAAATTATGTTTATGCACAAACTGCACATTTAAAATGCAGATTTGTCTAGGCGAGGAGTGAAACAAATGATTTCTTCCTCTTCCTGTTCGCTTTTTCATCTTACATTCTAAAGATTTACAAATCCACGAAGCTCGCCAATTTATAGGCCCATCCCAAGCCCCTGGAGTAACACCAAGCAATGCCTCTTCTCTCTCTCTCCTCTCTCTCTCTCTCTGTTAACAGCAGTACAAACCTGTCTGAATATAGTTAGGTTGCAGGTTCTCCAGGTCTCTTATTTATTTCAGAACATTCATGTGAAAATTAAATGGCAGGGATTTCTATCAAGGGGACAATTTCCTTAGTATGCACTAATTGATTCCTTCCAATTCTGACAAAATTACTACCAAAGAGAGGATTTCCCAGACTTCCTGGAGAATCTCCTAAAATTTGGGAGATAACCCCCAGCAATGTACTACAGAGGTCAACAAACTACATCTCACAGGCCAAATCTGGAAGGCCACCTGTTTTTGTACCGGTGAAATATATTTCTGGGCCCAAGATGAAGCCACTTCTGCCAGGGTTGCCACATCAGTAAACCAAAACTCAGATAACTTTCATGTCCCTGAAAATGTTCCACTCAACCAAAAATACAGCCTACAGGCACACCTCGCTTTGTTGTGCTTCACTTTATTGCATTTTGCAGATACTGTGTTTTTTTACAAATTGAAGGTTTGTGGCAACCCTGCATCGAGCAAGTCTATTGGTGCCATTTTTCCAACAGCATTTGCACACTTTGTGTCTCTGTGTCACATTTTGGTAATTCTCATAATATTTCAAACTTTTTCATTATTATTATATTTGTTATGGTGATCTGTTATCAGTGATCTTTGATGTTACTTTTGTAATTGTTTTGGGGTGCCACAAACTGTGCCCATATGAGACAGCAAACAATTGATAAGTGTTGAGTGTGTTCTGACTGCTCCATTGACCAGCTGTTCCCCTAGTTTCTCTCTTTCCTCAGGCCTCCCTATTCCCCGAGACACAACAGTATTGAAATTAGGCCAATTAATAACCCTACAGGGCCCTCAAAGTATTGGAATGAAGGGAGATGCGCGTGTCTCTTACTTTAAGCTTAACGAGGAAGGCATGTCAAAAACCAAGATAGGGGCTTCCCTGGTGGTGCAGTGGTTGAGAGTCCACCTGCCAAGGCAGGGCACACGGGTTCGTGCCCCGGTCCGGGAAGATCCCACACGCCGCGGAGCGGCTGGGCCTGTGAGCCATGGCTGCTGAGCCTGTGCGTCCGGAGCCTGTGCTCCACAAAGGGAGAGACCACAACAGTGAGAGGCCTGCGTACCGCAAAAAACAAAAAACAAAACAAAACAAAAAAACAGAAGCTCAGAAACTGCTTGGAAATATTTCTAACACTTTTGGGGATTATACTCATAGTCTAATAAAGGTTATGAACTAGCACAATCATTACTGGGGCCGACATTTCAAAATTTGCCAGTCAAAGCTATAGCACCAGGAGAGTATTATACACATAAAACTGAGAAACAGATAAACTTTACTGCAGAAAATAACAGTCCTACAGAGTATTGCTCTCATTATTTAGCTAGTATAAGGGTCAATCTGTCTCACTGAGGCATGTATCTATCTTTGCGCTATTAACATCTTATCTGAAATGCTTTCCAGTTTTTTGGTACCTGTTGAAAATCTGTGCTCTATAAATGGAACAACAAAGCCTGGCTGACAGCACATCTGTTTACAACATAGTTTACTGAATATTCGAAGCCCACTGTTGAGATCTATGGCTCAGAAAAAAAGATTCCTTTCAAAATATTGACAATGCTCATTGACAATGCACCTGGTCACCAAGCGCTCTAATGGAGATATACAATGAGATTAATGCTGTTTTCATGCCTGCTAACACAACATCTACTCTGCAGCCCATGGATCAAGGAGTAATTTCAACTTTCAAATCTTATTATTTAAGGAATACATTTCATAAGGCTATAGCTGCCATTGATAGTAATTCCTCTGATGCATCTGGGCAAAGTCAATTGAAAACCTTCTGGAAAGTAGTCACCATTCTAGATGCCACTAAGAACATTCATGATTCATGGGAAGAGGTCAAAATATCAACATTAACGGGAATTTGGAAGAAGTTGATTCCAGCCCTCATGGATGACTGAGGGAATCAAGACTTCAGTGGACAAAGTAACTGCAGATGTGGTGGAAATAGGAAGACAACTAGAATTAGAAGTGGAGCCTGAAGATGTGATGAATTGCTGCAATCTCATGATAAAACTTTCATGGGTGAGGAGTTGCTCCTTATGGATGAGCAAAGAAAATGGTTTCTTGAGGGCTTCCCTGGTGGCGCAGTGGTTGGGAATCCGCCTGCCAATGCAGGGGACACGGGTTCGAGCCCTGGTCTGGGAGGATCCCACATGCCGCGGAGCAACTAAGCCCCGTGAGCCACAATTACTGAGCCTGCGCGTCTGGAGCCTGTGCTCCGCAACAAGAGAGGCCGCGATAGTGAGAGGTCGGCGCACCGCGATGAAGAGTGGCCCCCGCTTGCCGCAACTAGAGAAAGCCCTCGCACAGTAACGAAGAGCCAACCCAGCCATAAATAAATAAATAAATAAATAAAATTAAAAAAAAAAAAAAGAAGACAAATTTCATAAACGTATATATGATTTATTAGAAATGTTAGAAATTCATGTGTATATATAAAAGATTTTCATATAAAATGACTAATAACCAGGCTTGAAAGAGATTTAATTTTAGTCTTTTTGAAAACTAAGTTATCTAGAATATTGAATTTAACGCTCCTGCCCAATTCATGAGATGTTAAAATTTTAAAAAATATCTCCCCACCCCCAAATCCCAACTTTTTTGGCATTTAATGTTCTGTATTTCTAATTTAATCTTAATCGCAGAAAAATCTTTCATTTCTTCTCATGCACTTTATATAGTGAACCTTTTTTAAAAAATATGCTTAACCAAGGCCCTCAGAGACAAATCATTAGTGGTTGGAAGTGAAGTACTTTAAAAACAAACAAGAAAATCAGTGAAATACTCTTAGGCACCATCCAATCACATCTTTTCTTCCAGTTTTAATCCATTAATCTGCAAATCTTTAAATAACAACAAAATCTTTTTCTCTCAACAATAATTTTTAAGTTTTGACATCAGACAAATCTGGGTTTCGCTCCTGGCCCTACCACATATATGACCTTGAGTAAATCTGTTAGCTTTTATTAGCTTCTATCTCCTCAAATGGAAACTGAGATAATTATAGTATCTATCTCAGAGGTCTGATGAAGGTCATATTAATCAAGTTTTGGTACAGGCCATGGAACATACAAAAAACTAGCTATTATTACTGTTGTTATTATTTGCATTTATTCTGTCCTTAATATCTTCAGGGATTAAGATGTATGCTAGTCTTGATTGAACACAATTATATCTTCAAAAAAAGAAATTCACGTGTAGATGAAGAAAGCAATACTATAAGTGAAAGTCAAAACAAACCAGCAAATTAGGAAGGAAAGAATCTTACAAAATCTTTTTTAACAATATTCAAAAATGGAAAGAAAGTGTATCAGCTATAATGTATTCTTTAAAGAACTAATTTTTTTAAGGACTCTTAAACCATTTGAATGTTACTCTACTGACTTGAGGAAAATTTTGCCTTCTTGATTTTCACTGTAAATCACCATTTGTAAATAAAACACTTGTGACTTTTTAAAAATTAATTATTTATTTAATTTTGGCTGCGTTGGTTCTTCGTTGCTGCGCGTGGGCTTTCTCTAGTTGCGGCGAGTGGGGGCTACTCTTCGTCATGGTGAGTGGGCTTCTCACTGCAGTGGCTTCTCTTGTCATGGAGCACGGGCTCTAGGCACGCAGGCTCAGTAGTTGTAGCTCGCGGGCTCTAGAGCACAGGCTCAGTAGTTGTGGCGCACAGGCTTAGTTGCTCCGCGGCATGTGGGATCTTCCTGGACCAGGGCTTGAACCCATGTCCCCTGCCCTGGCAGGCAGATTCTTAACCACTGCGCCACCAGGGAGGCCCACTTGTGACTTTTTTTTACTGTTGTAATGTTTTATTAAACATGAATTCAACTTATCCTACAAGTTACATGTGTCATTATATGTGCTGTTCCTTCTGCTCGGAGTAACCTTCCTAGACTGGCCCTACTCGGACTGGGAAAATCCTACTGTTTATGACTCAGTTCGAGGGTCACATCTTATGTACAAAACTTCCCTGAGTGTCTCTCTATACCCTTGGAAGAAGGCACTACTTCCTCCGAATCTCCCTAGAAATTTGTGTATACATACCTCCACTTTAAGCACTTATGAATAACCTGTTTACTTGTCTGATTTCCCCATGAGGCTGAATCCTTGAGGCCCCAGAATCAGACTGTGATATGCAGCACTTCTTCAATAGATGTTTAGTTTAAATGAAATTCCAGACGGCAACTACCATGGATTCTTTCTATGTAACGTGGTATACCGCCTAGCATAGCATATATTCTCAAAAACACTTGCTGATGGTTAGAATGATAACAAGTAAGGTGAAATAACTTTTGAAGCATGGCATTCAACAGCAATTTACTAAATAAATGAATACAACACACATAATGGTAAAAAAGAAAAAAGTCAAATTCATCAATGAACAAGTTATCCCAAGAGGAACTGTTTTCTGGGTATCACTTGATAAAAGAAAAAAGGAATAAAAATAAAACTGGGCTGTCAGACTTCACCAAAACAAAAGTTAGCTGAGTTCCCAAAATTTGATGTACTTCTATCTCCAAGTTATAACAGTATACAGAACATTTAAAAACCAAGTAATCTTGGTTTTCATCTACTGTTTATAATAAATCATGTTTGTATATTTCTTTCTCTATAAATTTCAAGTATAATGGACACAACAATGATTTCACAGTCTAAATATTTCTTTAAAAACAAAATATCACTGGCTACTTTTATAATACTAAGGTCTCTTACCTTATTTTTTCTGTTGTCATTGTACTTGATTAAGTCTAAAATAAATGTTAAGACTTCTTTGGGACAAAGGTTATGAACATCTCTCAATAAAGCCATCGCAACTGGCATAGTCTACAAAAAAAATTTTTGTTTAATTTTCATTACTACAGTTCAATGAAGTATATGCTGAAACAGGGTTACTCTGGGGCTGACACAGGTATCTGGATGGACCCCAACCCCCACCGATTCCTACCCCCTCCCACTGGGCACATGTCTCAAACATGCTAACAAAGGAGCTGAGTAGGAAACCAAGGGGAAAGCTGCATAACTGGATACACTCTGTAGCCCATTCGTTAGAAGAGGTATGTGTAATGTAAATTCAGTTCTGTGTTTTACAAGGGACAAGGTATGGGCTTTAACATTAGATAAGACCATTGTTCAACTTCTACACCACTACCTATTAAGATGGATTATTATAGCTAGTTGCTTACTGAGCAGGAGTCTAGTTTCCTCACAACCATTTTCAGGATTAATGGATACAGTGGCTGGAGGCATGTGGCAGGCAGACAGTAGAGTTCAATCACCAGTCTGAGAAGATACTGATTCTCTAGTACCATTGCCCCATTCTCAGCCTAAGGAAAAATGGTAAATTATCTAAAATCCAGCTTAACTTTCTCCTTTCCAAATTTTCATAGGCAACTTTTCTAAGGAAGTAGAAGCCTGACTCACAGTGGTCACCTCTACCAGTAAAACCAAGCTATTCAAACTCGAGGCAGAACTACAGACAAATAGACATCACAGTCCCCAGTACACAGAGAGATTTGGACTACCCCATCTTCTGATTCAAAATAACTATTCCCTCTAAACTGGGGGACAGAAAGTAGCAGGGCTCTTTTGCTTGCTTGAAGGACCAGAAGCAAGGGGACGGTCAGTGTTACAATAGTTATTATTAATGCTGTAAGAACTGAGGGAAAGTTTTTTTTCCATAGAAATAGGACTTAAATTTGATTTAAGCACTAATCTTCTCTCTCTCTTTTCTGTCACTAGAAGTATTATGTGAAAGGTAAACTAGTCTAAAAGCACTGCTTTTCCAATTTTTTTGACTGTAACCCTCAGTAAGAAATACATTTACATCCCAACCTCTCACACACACACACACACACACACACACACACACACACACACGTCATGTATACAAAGTAAAAAATAAAACCAAAAAAACCTTACACCTACCCTTATTTCATGTGTCACATTCTGATACTGCCTATTGTTTTCGTTTATTTAAAAAAAAAAAACTTCCAAATTGATTTCATGACCCCCCTCATTAATGGATCACAGCTCCCAATCTGAATATTGATCTCAGGTATATGGAAGCACAATGGCATAATGAAGGGGACACATTCAGTAGTCACAGAAATTAACTTGCTTCCACACCATACATTACTGAAATGGCAAAAGAGAGCTGAGCAACATGTTCAAGTACTATGAAATGCTCGGTTCTTTAAAATAACAGGATGCCTCAGACTTCTTTGATCACACTAATATTGGCTTTTCCCAAACCCGATCTCCTGAATCTGTTCTGCTGATGAAATTCACTATCACTATCATGTCATGACTTCTACTCTCAGCATGTGTCTCAATGTGGCTGGGTAATTCTTTTCACATTTCTCTCCATCACATACAAATCTCACCTTGCTTAACATTCCCCTCAACATCTATCATTTCATTTACTTTTAATCTGCTTTCTACCTGCCTCAGAAAAAGGAATGTTCTTATCTTTTCTAAAATTAACCTCACAACTATGTCCCCACCCACTACTAATAACTTCAGAATTTGCTCTTATGATTTTTATATTTACTTGCTCCCAAGAGATGAATATTTATTTCATCTCTGCTTATCCACTGGTTCCCTTCTCTGTGCCAAACATGCCTCAAGCTTCTTCTCCCTCTATACAAAACAAAACCTGAAATGTCCTTTCTCAGCCTTGTTTTATCCTCAACATGTCACCTTTCTCACACTCTTCAACACCAAATCATGAAAGAATAGGCTTCATTAGTTTTTTTCTACTTCAACTTTACTCCTCCTTCTAGTTAATCTAGTTAATCTAATCTGGGCCTTCATTATTAAATTACTCTAAATATTTTACAAATGATTTCCAAATTGCCCAAATGCTGACCACCCTGCCATTCCCACATCACTTCCTAAAACAGTGGCTCTATCACACCACCACTTTCTAAATTACCATTTGTAAAAAACTTGCTATTTGATAAGAATATAGTGTGAACACTTCACATGCTTGATATTATTTAATTAAAAAAAAAGATAAATTTACAATTGAGTAAACTGAGGCTTAGAAAGTTAAGAAACTTGTCCTCTTGCAAACTGCTAGTGAGCAGCAGAGCTGGGACTGAAACTAGAGCTGTGTGCTGTATTGTCTCTGACTCAGAAATGCTGTCCACATCCTACAAGGACGGCCATCAGAAGGACTTACCCATACCTCCATCCCCCATGTAACCAACCAAAAAGTCAAATTATCCATTTCTACTTACTTCAGTATTAATATGGACAGTGACTTACTCGCACACAGTTCATAAAATCAATGAACAATTGAAACTTTGGAAAACATTTCAGGAGCAAAAAGAGAACACAGACAAAATCATTTATAAGAAAGTAAATAATATTTGAAGAGTCCCCAGGTTAAGCTGAGATATACAGATATTGGCAAAAAACAATCATAAGAAAACTAGAAGGGAGACTGTACCTTCTGTAGAAAGTAACTTTGAAAGCTCATAAAGTTGTTTGTTTTCACAATGTTTGGACAAGTTTTACAACAAAACATCCTAGTAAAGAGTGACTTCATGGCTGGTGGTCCTGTCCATGTGCTCACCATTGAATTTGCAATCTGCAGTAATTAGAAAATGAAGTAATTTGATCACCATGGAAAACATATTTTTTAAAAAATAAAATAGCTTTCTAAAAGTTATCAATACAATCGGATTCATTTTTAACAATTTCAGTTCTTAGAAATTTAATACATTTTAGCTTCTCATGACCATTTCCAAGAAAATGTATATAAATATATTTATATATTTATAAATATATATAAACTCTACCCCCCCTAAAATTCTTATGTACACTTGTAACTGTTTTCTACAAGTCAGTTTCTAAACTGGAGCACTCTTCTTATGTTTTAAGAAAACTTGTTTGCAAAGACTTTATTCTGAGTTAAGTTTTGTCCATTTAGGCAGATGCGGTTCTAATGTTTTAAATTTATCAGATAGAAACATCACCATGGATTTTAAATAAGGCTTTTAAATCTACCCTAATTTAAAAATAAGCAAGTACAGTGCTACCACCTAAGTCTGTAAGAACACTTTACAAAAAAATCCACATCTTGCTATTGATACTTTTAGTGTATATAAAAATCATGTCTGAAAAGAATGAAATTATAATTAACTTTAAATAAGTCTATAATTTTATGGATCTGCTAAGAATTTTGCATGTGAGAATCATGAAGAACTTTATAGGAGCAACAAAATTACATCCTTAGCAGATGATTATCAAAGAAAATCACATTTTCCCTCATATATCTGAGTAGATGTAGGAATCAAACTGCTCACTAGTTACCATTAGAGATAAAACAAATCTAAACCATTATAATCTGTTGAAATGCTGGACAAGTGGATTTAGCAGGGAGGAAGGCAAGAGAGTTACTATATGGGAATGAACCTAGTACCAATATGCTTTTTAAATACCTGGAACCCAGTATTTCTGGCCAAATATTTGTCTGCATTTTCTGGCTTTCATTTGTTCTACCTTCAGGGTTTTTTTTTTGTATCTAAAGAAAAATATGTAGTTTTCTTAATAAATTAACTTTTCTAGTATGTTAAATAATAGAACCTATCATTTTAAATTCCATATCCCTAATATTGATTACTAAGCTCAAACCAACAAGAAATCACCACAACAGTGGGATAATTAAGATGAACTGATTTCATGTACTACAATATAAAATATCACTCAAACCAAGGAATTTCTTACATTCTTTGCTTTAACAATTCTTTGGTTGGCAAGTCAATAAAATGGGAAAATTCTCTTTGGTTTTAAACTCTCAGTTTCAGTTTGACAATTATAAAATTTTAGTGCATTATTTATTTTCAGGTCAAAACGTGTTTCTTCAAATCAGCCTTGTTAAAAGCATTTGGCAAAAGCTTTCAAGAGACCAACCACCAAGTAAAATTAAAGACTACGGTGAATTTTAATTCACCTTCAGAGATAATTTTGTTTTTTTAAAATATGCATCAGCCATCTTGTTTTCTTTCTACTGTACATAATCTCACCTTTGCAAGGCAGAAGCAAGCTGACATTCTCACGCGGTAGAAACACTGCTCCTGTTCTAATATGTCAGTAAGGGCAAGCCGAGATGCTGGAGTGGGGAACTTTTCCAAGGCCAAAATGGACTCTTGCTGTGCCACAACATCCCTCTCATAGCGGAGCTGATACTGCCACATAAAATCTGCTTGCTCAAATTCTACTTTCCTCAATACCGACATGTCTGGGTCTATCCTTATCCACAGCAAAGGAGAATCAGCACTGAAAGAAAATATAATTTCCTTTTTTATTTATCTTTTCAATTTCATATATTTATAAAAACACAGCATTTATTAACCAGATTCCCTTCTCCATGCAGTTTTACTGCATTCATGTTTTTAAAAATCACTTTGACAACTTTCTCATCATGTTTAATATGAATTTCAAGTTTCTCACAATGTCTAATCTACATGGATCTTTTTTTTATAAATTTATTTATGTATTTGTTTATTTATTTTTGGCTGTGTTGGGTCTTCGGTGCTGCACGTGGGCTTTCTCTAGTTGCAGCAAGCGGGAGCTACTCTTCGTTACGGTGTGCAGGCTTCTCTTATCACGGTGGCTTCTCTTGTTGCAGAGCACGGGCTCTAGGCGCGGGCTTCAGTAGTTGTGGCTCGTGGGCTCTAGGCACAGGCTTCAGTAGTTGTGGCTCGTGGGCTCTATGTGCGGGCTTCAGTAGTTGTGGCTCGCAGGCTCTAGAGCGCAGGCTCAGTAGTTGTGGCGCACGGGCTTAGTTGCTCCGCGGCATGTGGGATCTTCCTAGACCAGGGCTCGAACCTGTGTCCCTGCACTGGCAGGCGGATTCTTAACCACTGTGCTACCAGGGTAGCCCTATATTGACCTTGTTGAAACAAAAAAATCCATCTGAAAATATTAATTTGGGGATTTTGATTAGTGATTGTATGATGTGAAAAGGGGAAATTGGACCAAATTTCTTTATTTTACTTCCTAAAGTCTAATACTTGCCAATGGCTATAAATGCCACTCTTTATGAGACATCAATCTGTAACTGAAATAAACTTATTTCTTTTTTTTCTTAATTAACTAATTTATTTATTTGGCTGCATCCAGTCTTAGTTGTGGCACATGGGATCTTCGTTGCGGCATGCAGGATCTTTACTTGCGGCATGCAAACTCTTAGTTGCAGCATGCAAACTCTTAGTTGTGGCATGTGGGATCTAGTTCTCTGACCAGGGATCGAACCCAGGCCCCCTGCATTGGAAGTGCAGAGTCTTAGCCACTGGACCACCAGGGAAGTCCCAGATAAACTTATTTCTTATTAATTTATTAAATTAATTTGTTTAGCTGACTTGTTTTAAGAAGAATGCTAGACTCATGATCATTTTTATCAAACAGAAAGTTCTGAAATCATACTTCAGAGGTATAGCATAAATTTATCCTCATGTACCTCTCAAAGTAACAAGAACAGTTTTAAAAATCTAGTCTAGAGACTTCCCTGGTGGTCCAGTGGTTAAGACTCCACACTTCCACCGCACAAGGCTCGGGTTTGATCCCTGGTTGGGGAATTAAGATTCCTCATGCCGCCTGGGGCGCGGCCAAAAAAGAGAAAAGCAACCAGCCTAAAAATCTAGTCTAACACTCTTATCAAAGAACACCACCTGAAATATAAACTCAATTCAACAAATACTACTGGGTACTTACTACAGGCAAGGACTTAATATGGAAAGATTATATAAACTGTGTAATAAATAGAAGTGATATTTGGTAACCAAGTTAGTAAATAATTACAGATGTTTTATAAAAACTACACAGGCACAATGTGGATGGGCGAAATAAACTCTGAGCTACATTATATTTAAAAATAAAATGCCTGTCAATCAATAAATATTACCACAAAATTTTTACAAGGATATTTAAATTGTTTTTTGCAAACATAGCAAGTCTCAAAGTGCCCTGGGGCTTTGTCCAAAGACAAAGAAAACCAGTAACATCTGAGAACTCACTGGAAATGCAAACTATCACGACCCACTAGTGAAGAGCTGGGTCAGAAACTGAATTTTAAGAAGATTCCCCATGTGACTTACACGCACTTCAGTTTGAGAAGCACTGCTCTAGAGGCCACGAGGGAAGCAAGAAAACTAATTCAAGGCTGCTTCCTCTGAATTTCACCTGCGCCAGGCTAGATTTACTTTTCTCTCTTTGATTAATTATAATTTTATGTTAAAATTTGTTTTCAACATAAGGTTTTTATTGCCTTCTAAAAGTATTAAAAGCACTAATTTCAGGACATTTACATACTTTTAGATGTAAATATATTACAAGACAAATGAGAATGCAGAAAATGTTATATCCTTAAACTTAAGTAACTAACTTACTCCATTGCAGAAAGATCCATGTCAACTTCTTCTCCATTCATCAGTGGAATTTTTTTCTTCTTATTCCTACATTTAAGGAAAAGTAAGTCTGAAAATTGTGACATTCCCAATTCTGAAAACAGATAAAGAGCAGCTGAAGTTCAAATTAAGAATTTCACATAGTGTTGAAAGATATCCTAAGGAGGAAGAGATAGAAAATGTAATGGAATTTAAACACCACAAAACCTGTCTATTTTGAAACTGAAGGGAATGAAGTAAATGATATTAAAATGTCTTCCTGATCAAAGTTTAACAAAAATCAGAAAAATACAATTAAATGTTAACTTAAAACATATATATATTCCCAAAAACTGGTACCTGGAAGTTTTATACAGAAAGATAAGAGATCTACCAAATAAAGAAATCCTTTATAAAAAAACGAAAAAATAACCAGGCCTGAAATGAGACATGAATAATTCTGAACATGTTATGTACATGCAAGGTGCTGTCCTATATGAAATAAAGCAAGTGGTAAACTACAAAACATCTTAACAGTATTAATTAATATGTATAATTAATTAATATGCACAAGATTTAAGATAAGCCAAAACAAAAGCAACTGCTTCCATGCAAATTACTCCTGAATCATAAAATCTACTGGACACTACACTAAATGCATGGTCACATGAGGACAAAATAGGAAAAGAGAGCACAGTCTTTTTATGTTCCTCACACCAAAGGATACATAAATGACATGCTATTACTACAGAGAAAGCAAAACAAAGGAAATGTTATGAAAAGGGTAGCAATCAGATGTTCTCAATTTCAAAGGTGGACAGGACAAAAAGAAGAATAATTTCACTTTGAAGAAAGAATTTTCACAGAGAATGATTACAGAGATTTCAGAATCAAGTTCTCTAAACGCCTTCAAAATCAACTGACATTCTTGTCTGTGTGAGATAACCTAAGTCATAAGTATAAGACTTCTGTCCCTGAAATTTTGATATTACTACACATTCCTTTCACTATTCAGATCATATGTTAATAGCTGAATTAAAAAACAAAAAAAAGTGGTTAAGAAAAAATATATTAAATAAAAGATGAACCATTGGACGTTTTTTAAGTAAACTGGTAACGTGCCTTTGAAAGACATCAAGAATGTTCTTTCAGGGCATGGTGATACAGAGAAAAGGGAGAGTAAAGGAGACGTAGTAAAGAAGATGCAGGGGCTTTTCGTGACATATGTATTCAGCTACTCTCCTTACAGTCAGTGATCATTTCCCCAATATTTTCTGTAGATATTAATCAAATGAGACTAATAAGAATGAACCTAAGCGATTTGTCTTGAAGTTTTCCTGGCTCCAAAAACTCAAACTTCCATTCCACTTCCCCCTGTCCCTACAAAATAAGGATTCTCAAACCTAAATTTTAAAATTAATTATTTAATTCTAAGGATACAAATGTTGTCAAGAACAGAAAGCAAATAAAGAATGTTTGGGGACTTCCCTGGTGGCACAGCAGTTAAGAATCTGCCTGCCAATGCAGGGGACACGGGTTTAAGCCCTGGTCCGGGAAGATCCCACATGCCACAGAGCAACTAAGCCCGTGTGCCACAACTACTGAGCCTGTGCTCTAGAGCTCACAAGCCACAACTACTGAGCCCATGTGCTACAACTAATGAAGCCTGCACACCTAGAGTCCACGCTCCGCAACAAGAGAAGCCACCGCAATGAGAAGCCCGCGGACAGCAACAAAGACCCATTGCAGCCAAAAATAAATAAATTAAAAAAAAAAAAAAGTTTGGTAATACTAACTTGAAGTAAAAGGGGGGGAAAATACTAGATAACATGTTCTCTACTTAAAAATTAGGTATACATTAGGGTTTTTATTTTGGCATTTTAATCTGTGAGACTGAAGTTTATAGTTATGATCCAATGCCTACCTTCTGCTTTTGGAATGGCAGGGTATATCATGTTTAAGACTGTTTTCTTCAATTTGCAATGTATGATTGAAGGATCCATCTAACTCCTGTACTGTCACTTTAAGTGGTCCCTTTAAAAAGAAACATACTGTTGAAAGATAGTACTAGAAAAAAAACCAATGTGTGTTCTTATGCGTACAGATATATATATCAAGATATAATATAACACTATACAAGACCTCCATGTGGAGACACAGAAAGGCAGCTGGTACCAGAGGCAGGGATAATTGGGAGAATTTGTTTCCTCCAAGATCTGTATCAGCAACCCTCTTCTCCCTTCCCTGACACTTGGTGTTTTCTCAATTTCATTCTTTGCAAACAAAATCTATGAAACTTCCAACCAGCTCCCCAACCATAAACCCTTCCTTTATTTAAACTGGCGAGAAAGCAGTGCAGGAGGCCATTTTGGAAAAAAACTTACCACATATTTCTGAGTTCCAGGAGATGTATAATCTTGTTTTATTTCCAATTCCAAGACATTTCGTTTTCTATTAAAGGCAAAACTTCCATAAAATTTTACCACTCCGCTCTGGTCTCTGAAGAATTGTAAAGGAATTTTTGCATACTAAAATAAATACGTACTAAACAAAATAAATTATTCATTAGGGTAGTAATAATTTTCAAATGCATTCCCCCCCCGGTTCAAAGCTTAAGAGCGTACTCCACTCTAAACCAGGTGGCAAAGTATTCAAAATTCTTGTGAAAAATGTTTCCCCAGATTTAAAAAGAAATTCTGAAACATTAAGAAATTAGTTTTTTTGAAAGAAGCAAAACCACTCTACTGGGTTATTAATATAGTGCCTTGAAATGAAAAAAATGTAACAATTGAAAAGTTCCAAGATACCACTCAAATTGTGCCAACCTCTAACCACATCTAGAAGTCACCAGACCACTGCATCTTACAAGTAATCCTACAGGTCTGTCTGGTGGATTATTTACCTCCCTCACCATCAAGCCTATTGCTATACTCACACACTAAAAGGTACTTTAAAATATGCCAAATTTTACAAATACAGATGTGTATGTATGTGTGTCTCAATACTTAGTAGGCACCTTAGAGGAAATGATTTACGGTTCCTGGTAATTTCTACTATTACTTACCTCCTTTCATCCCGCAAAGCCCTTTTCTTCCTCCTTCCCCTTATACACATAACCCTCTCTCCTTTGCTAAACTGCTATTAAAAAGGATACACCCACTGCTTTATTAAAGGCTGGATGTCTTTGCCAGAGACATTCGAGATGGATTTCAAAAATCCAGATGTGGAAACCAACATCTGACTCCACATATGTGACTGGAACTTCTGAGATGAAGCAGTACTAGCCAAACTTAGCAGTTTATTGAAAACCTGCAAGAATCAAAGTATCATTTAGTTTGTATAAGATAACATACATTGCTTGCAATTCTGTAATATTCCCACTTTGCATTATAACTTTATTATAGACAATTACAGAAGACAATTTCACATCTTACTTCATTGATTGTTTTAGTTAAAGACTATTAGCAGTGGAAGCATGAAAAGATTTAAACGGCCAGACTATAAAATCATTCTTCCTCTAAATATAATTGAATTTTAATGACATCCTGGCCAGACAATGAATACTGTGTTTTTAAGAGCTATAATACTATACAACACCTATAACATATTGTGCTACGAACTTTACATAGGAACTATACATTCTTTAAGAAGTTGAGAACACTCATTTGCATTTATACCACTCTAAGAAGTGAACCGGCTCTTTACAGACCACATCTCATTTAATATTTCTGTTCTTTAAAGGCAAGATAAAGGACAGAAGGATTCAAGAAACTTAACTTTAAGGCAAATTTAAAATGCTTTTTCAAAAAAGATTACTAAAAAGTTATTTTCCACTTACCTCTAAGAATATTATCAATGGAAAAAGAATAGCTGAACATTTATAATACAAATGGCTTTCTATTACCTCAACTAGTACATATCAAGTATTTCCGCCAAAACTTGCTTAAAACATATGGCAGAATTTAGCGATAGCAAAAATAACCATCTTTTAGATAAATGTGCTTTTTTCTATTGAAAATATTTGTAAATGGCACTTCATCCTTAATATTCTAAATAATGCCAAACAGAAAATCATAGCATAAACAGGTTTTACTTTTAACCTCACATTTTAGTTTTATCTTCATAAAAATCCTGCATTAAGTGGGTCAAGTATTCATACCCACTCTACATCTGAGGAAACACAAACAAAAAGAACAGGTTACTTACTGCGCAAACAGCTAATTGGATGCCCTGACTCCTATTCTACAGAATGGTATTCAGATTATATACATATAGAACAGATCTTTCTTTACAACTGTTAAGTTCTTTAATACTTACTTGTAACATAAACTCCATACTGATCCTGTTTTCAATCAATCTCATCACAAGGTGAGCTTTACACTGAAACATAGTGTAGTATTCCCAGGAAAGCGTATGTGGATGCTTTATGGAAAAGTGTAGATGGGATGCTGGACTAAAAAAATAAACAGATTTGTTTAATATAACAAACTTGAATTAAATAAACAATAAATTTCATAGCTACATCAATACAATAAATCAAAAACCTCATGGGAATACCTTAGCAATTTCCTTAGTATGAGAGCAACGAAGACTAGGAAACATCTAAAAACAACTTAACTACACATAAAGGAAAATTTGAATGAACAGAAACACACGCCAACCTCCTGGTAGGAAGACACAATAGTGTAAATATTTCAATGCTTTCCAAATTCATCCATACAATCAATGCAATTCCAATCAATATCCCCAGGTTAAAGCATATACAAAAAACATTCAAGATGGATTACATATTTTAAACAAAAACAATTATAAAAGTACTAGAATAAAGGAAAAAAATTTCTTTTCATAATTTTGGGGCGGGAAAAATCTTCACAAGGAAAAATATAAAATCCAGAGGACATAAAGACCAGACTATGTAAAAATTAAAAATTCTGACATGAGATCATCAGTAAATTAAAAGATAGGTACAGTCTGTAGAAAATATTTACAACATACATGAACATTTAAGGTGTTTATACTTTTTTATTATTTCAAATAATGCTACAGTGATTATCTTTTCATATATGTGCAGGTATTTCTGTATGGCAAATATCTAGAATAATTTCTATATGATAACATACTCAGAAGTTGAATTGCTGAATCTAAAAATTACCCATTTTAAAATTCTGATTGGTACTAACAAATTACCCTTCGAAATCAGTGTACCAAATTACACTCTCACAATCAATGTGTAAGAATAGTCATTGCACTTCCCTAAAAAAGCATGGCATACTGAAATATAAAATTTTGTAATTTGATATTTGAAAAATTACTTTTATACTCCACTATTACTTCTGGGCTTATGGACAGCAATATGAAAAAGGTTAAATAAATTCCAAGGTATAATGGAATACTATATAGCACATAAATAGAACAAGGTAAATTCACGTAGTCACATGGAATGCTTGCCAAAATATAGATACAGTTAATTTCTAAAAAAAAGAGAAGCTCACAGTAACACGCATGACTAAATTGTATTTTGTAACTGCCATATACACATAAATAAAAGTCCAGAAAAAAAAAGAGGTCTGGAAGACAATACACCAAATTTATAATCAGGTTATCTCCAAGGAGAGGAAGTGATGGGAGTGAGAAGTGGTAAGAGGGCTAAAAAAGATCTTTTACTTTTTACTCCACATGCTTCTGAACTGTCTTGTTTTGAATCTCTTCAAAGAGCATGCATTCATGTGTTGCTTTTATACATAAATTTTGAAAATCAAACATACAAAAGGAACTAAATAAATGGACAGAACAAAGGTAAAAGCATTTAGTGTAAATAATTATTTACACACAATGGGAATGCTCTAATTATATGCTGGGAAACTGCCATATTGCAGGCAGTCAAGAGAAGAAAGTGAAAGGAACTAACATTTTAATGAGTGCATACTACGTATAAAGCTTTACCTCAAGTAATCCTGGCAACCAACACGGTTAAGATGGATCATCGTTGTTCTACACATTAAAACGCACACACTCACAAAGGTTATACAATTTTCTAGGCTCACAAAAATCAGTAACTACAAAAATCCAAGTCTGTCTAACTCCAAATTCCTATGCCTTGCCACTGGCCTAATCTTATCTCAGTGACCATACTTCCACCAAAGAAAAGACTACTGATTATACAACTTGCAGTTTCTTAACCTTTGTTGTACTTTTAGACACTTGCGTAGTCTGGTTAATCCTACGGACCAAGAAAAAACTGCTTTTAAATGTGCAAAATAAAATATACAGGTTTACAAAGGAAACCAATTATAATGAAATACAGTTATCAAAATATTTTTTAAAACTATGACATTACCAACATATGTGCTAGTTTATTAATGCATTAAATAACAAGACCTAGCAGTGGTCTACTGTAGTAATTTTAAGGTAATGAGTGCAAAGAATATTTCAAGATACTTGCTAACAATTAAAATGTGACAAGAAAACATCCATGATTTCTACTGTTGACAAAGTCACAGCACTGTCTGTTACCTACAACCATAATTCAAAGAAATATAAAATTTCAGTTAATGGTGAGTAAAAAATACAGAAAAACTTTCCCATCCAATTCAATCCATATTCCCTTAGGGAATTCATGGACCCTAGAACAAATAAGAATCCCTGTTAGTACCATTACGTTGTTATAAGTGGTTGTCTCAGTGACTTGATAAAAAATAGAAAGGGAAAGAAAAGAAGGAAAGTGAGAAAGAGGGAAATAAAAGGAAAGAGGCTGGGGGGCTTCCCTGGTGGCGCAGTGGTTGAGAGTCCGCCTGCTGATGCAGGGGACAGGGGTTCGTGTCCCGGTCCGGGAAGATCCCACATGCCGCGGAGCGGCTGGGCCCGTGAGCCATGGCCAAAAAAAAAAAAAAGGAAAGAGGGAAAAGGAAAAGAGTAAATAAGTGTCTAGGTAGCTGACCATTCAGATAAACAGGTATAGGTAGGATGCGTTGATGCTGAAATCATCTACTTAGCCTTTTCTATTATTTTTAAACATTTACAAGAATAGTACAATATATTAGCATTAGGAAATTAACATGAAAAAGAAAAAAGCTTTATTATTTTTAGTCTTTTTTTAATGTTTAAATCCATTTACAGTCATCACATGCAATAGTAATGAAAGGAGTAATTAGAATACTACCAACATCTATGGGCTCAGTATTATTACAGACCATTATTAACACTTCTTTGGCCTGTATGGGCCTCGATACACATACAAGTGATCCTAAAAGACTAATCCCATAAACCAAGGTTTGTAGTATCTCTGAACAATAAACATACTTATCCTTCTCTTTTCCTCCACCAAATATGGGATGTAATAAAACTCCACCAGTTTTTAGTTCGTACACCACTATTTTGTCCAGCTCCTTAAAAAGACATAAAAATAGGGATCAGTGAAAATTATTTTACATATCAAATTTTAGAATTCAACTGTGGTTTCCAATTTCCTGGAATCAGAATGTAAATTTCTGAAAAATAAACGAAATGTATTTGTAGGGTAGTTTATGTTGCAAACAAAGCAGATTACACAACTGACCGAATGATAGAGCCAAAAAGCCTTCTCTACTTTGTGACTTTTGGGCTGGCCAGTAGCCTGGCAAGTTTTCCTAATGGCTCTCCCCAACCTCTCTGACCTGTTCTCCAAGTTTATTTCTTCCTTCTCTGTATTTTGCTCCTGGTGGAGGATTTAAGCAAGTAAAAACAAATAGGGATAACATTATGACAGGATCTATAATTTTAAAACTTCTCTAGTTTTCTTTAATATGACACAGATCAAAATGAAAAAATAAAAGTTTAAGTGGAAAAAAACACAACTGTGCTGGAAATTCATGACTAGTTTAGGTAACATACAAGCAGTACAGAGAAGTGGTAAAAATCATAATGAAGTGGTTAAAAGCCGGGTTTGAATCCTGGCTCTACTACTTACTAGCTGTGTAATTTTAGCCAAATAACTTAACCTCTCTGTGCCTCAGTTTCCTTATCTGTAAAATGCACATAATAACAGAGTAGTTAGGAGGATTAAGATAGTTACTATTTATAAAATGTTTGTAACAGTGCCTGAAACACTTTAAGTTTTTGAAATTAAAAATGGACTCTTCAGTTCTAGATGTATGAATCTTTTATAGTTCTCGATATTTGAAATCTTTTGCAATTACTTTTTGGCTTACTTAAGTTTAGGTTTAGATGGTGAAGGTATATAAAATGAGAAAAGAAGGAGGATAGAGGGGGGTCTATTTAATGAGGCTATTAAAGGCTGAAATTTTTCCCCCTGAGAGGTGAGAAGATAAACATGATATGATTAAAATGTATATGAACAGAATGGGCTAGGCAAAATACAACTGACTTTCTCTTTTGGCCAAATCTTTAAATAATGGGAAAAAATGTGAAAATGACGGAGAACATAAATACACTGAAGGACTAGCCAACATACAATAAGTACTTATTATGACCTAGGCACTATGCATATTACATGTATGTCTTACAATCCCTGTCCATACTAGTAGCAGCAGTAGATACTACTACTACTTACTCTCCTTATACAAAAGACGCTTGGAAAGATTAAGCAAAATCATAAATAAAGCTTGTGAATGTATGAAGCAAAATGAAAAGCAAACTGACTCCAGAAACTATGTTCTAAGCCTAAACAAATTTAGAAAGCACAAAATTACATTAAAAATGACTATTATGAGGAGCTGGAATATATCTAACAACTTGATGTTTAAGGGGCTTAAATATTCTCGTTCTTAGCAAAAAAGTCTTTGGAGGCCAACACTGACAATGGAAAGCAGATAAAATAGACCATTAGCCTTTCTCTGTAAAATGATTCTCATTTTGCTGGAAAAACTCAGGGACTTTCAAATGACAATAAGTATTTTATAGTTACTAAAAAATAAAGGACACATGACTTGAAAATCTGGAGAACACTAACATGTCTTATTGACTTCTAAGTGGAGAATGGATCTAGTTGCTTTTACCTCTTTAATCCAATGGCGATATTCATTAACACCAAAAGTTTTTTTCATCCAGAGACCATAAATATAGCCTGAAATTCCCTTCAATACCCATTCATCAGACCTAAGCAAAAAGTCAAATAATAATACATCATTTTATATATTTTTAATATAAATAAAATATAATAAATTTTATTATTTTAATAATAAAAATTCTTCAGATATTTTTGGCCAAAGGCCAAAGAGGGTAACAGAACAAGCATTAGCATGTACTTCTCTGCCTTCTTAAAGAAAATGAAAGTTATCAAACCATTTGGTTTTCCCACTTCCTCTGACTGAATTCTGCCTATCCATTCACTGTACCTTCATATCTGGCATCAACTTAATTATAAGACCACTTTATACTCTTGGTTCAAGGTACCTATGTTTGTGCTTTGCTCTGGCAGTGCTGCTTCCCTTATACCTAAGTCTGCCCATACTGTCTGCCTCTAAGGAAAGACATGCACATAGCCAGGACCATAATGCTCAATTCTTTCTCTTTTTTTTTTTTTTGATTGATTGATTGATTTATGGCTGCGTTGGGTCTTCATTGCTGTGTGCGGGCTTTCTCTAGTTGCAGCGACCGAGGGCTACTCTTCATTGTGGTGCCTGGGCTTCTCACTGTGGTGGCTTCTCTTGCTGCAGAGCACGGGCTCTAGGCACACAGGCTTCAGCAGTTGTGGCTTGCGGGCTCTAGAGCGCAGGCTCAGAAGTTGTTGCGCACGGGCTCAGCTTCTCCGCGGCATGTGGGATCTTCCCGGACCAGGGCTCAAACTCGGGTCCCCTGCATTGGCAGGCAGATCCTTAACCACTGTGCCACCAGGGAAGCCCCAATACTGCTCAATTCTTAAAAGTCCACATTCTTTTATTACCAATCCCATGCATAATTATCAGTGAGATTCTAAGACCTCAAGTTTAATTACTTATTTTTTAGTTTCTTAAGTGGAAAGGCAATACACCTTTCATTCATTTATTTATTCGTATGTTTATCCATTCATTCATTCGTTCATTAAAACATTTTGTCTATCATGTTCCAGACACTACCCTTTAATGAAACTATGTGTCTTAGGAAAATTACAAATCAAGAGGCCTTACCCTCCACCCTTTCCCCTCCAGAAAGAAAGAAAAAGACAACAAGACTTACATACTATATATTATAATCATAAGTTACAGTCTTAAGGGAATTTTGTCTATTTCTTCAAATTCACCTCAAGTTTAAAAAAGAAAATAAAAAGTGTTGTATTTCTCACATCTTTCAAGTAAATTAGTACAAATCTAGGAACTAACAGGAAAATCCCTATAGCATCATCACTATTGTAGAGGACCATTATTTTACCTTAAGTATTACCAATTGCACTGAACGCTGACATCAGAATTCTAACTATAGTTCTCTGTACACTGAAGTCCTTGTATCTACAGTATTTATTTAGTTAAGAAACTGATGTTACCAAAATTCTTACCTTATTCTTATTGCATATTACAAAATTAACTCTACTGATATACTGAGGACACAGCCAAAAATTCAGGATGAAATTTATACTGATTACTTTTCTTTAAATATATATAATAGTGTCTGTTAATTATCTGCAGTTAGGACAAAGTTCAACTTACACTGCAGGAAAAGAAAATAAAAATAAACTTTCCTGATTCTTCTTAGTAGTTGTAAACTTTGAAATTACTCACCAAGACATTCTGGATATGAAACATCCAAAAAACTGCTGGGCCAAGGACTGGGCTAAACACCTTCTAGTCAAAGGTGTCTCATCTATAATCATGGCACTGTGTAACAGATTTGTGCTGGAATTTAAAAGAAGAGACAGCTCACTATAACCAAGAAATAAATAATTATTCAATCAAAATAAAATAATCACCCTTTTAAAATAACAGAATTTAATTAATACATAAAAGAGAAAAACCAGAATACTGTCCCCAACAGCTTTTACAATTTTGGTTGAAATTCATAATCTTAATAACTTTTGTTTAAAGCAAGGACTATAATGTTTCTCACTGATTTCCATGAAAAATATAAATACCCTTTTAGGAGGGTAGGGGGTTGCAGCGTCAATCAGAAACTGGTATGTTAAGCAGAGACTAATCTTTTTATGAAGGGCTCTTCTAATTTCAAAAACCTTTCCCTAATAATACTTTAATGTTTTGTGCTATATTATTTACTTTCAAATGCAGTGACCCATCAGATTGTCTAAACAACTCGGAAGAATGCAAGAACAATATTATTATGTCCATTTTACAGAAGAGAAAATAGACCCCCCTCCAAAAAAATGACTGACCCTGAGACATATAACTTCTAAATTTGGCACTTTTCAAGGAATGAAAGAAGGGAGGGAGGTAAAGAGGGTAAAAGAAAAAAGAAATAAAACTTTCTCTTTTTTTTTTTTGCATACAAATTTCTGATGATATCAGTAAATTTTTAAATAGTGCTAGGACAAAAACCTCACTAGATACCCATATAGTAACTTGTATCATTTTTGTTTTTAATGCATAAGCCAAAAAGAGACTAAAACACATATGTAAAAAATTAGTTAATTCTGGATAAAGATACTATGAATCTTTTGGGTTATTTTGAAATGTTCTTCTTTATGCTTTTCTACACTTTTCAATTTTGAAAACACTGGATTTTCTACAAAGCCACCCATAACTAAATTGAAGGGAAAAGGTTCAAACTGCATCTTAAAATTGATCACAGGGGCTTCCCTGATGCTGCAGTCGTTAAGAATCTGCCTGCCGATGCAGGGGACCCGGGTTCGGGCCCCGGTCTGGGAAGATCCTACATGTCGCGGAGCAACTAAGCCCGTGTGCCACAACTACTGAGCCTACGCTCTAGAGCCCGTGAGCCACAAACTACTGAAGCCCGTGCACCTAGAGCCCGTGCTCTGCAACAAGAGAAGCCACCGCAATGAGAAGCCTGCACACCGCAACGAAGAGTAGCCTCCGCTCACCACAACTAGAGAAAGCCCGCGCACAGCAACAAAGACCCAACGCAGCCAAAAATAAATAAATTAAATAAATAAATAATTTTAAAAATTGATCACAAAATAAATAACCTATCTTCACATCATTAACCTAATTTAGGCCTCTGAATTTGTATACAAACCTAAAAATGCTCATGGAAGCATAAGCAGCCACTTCAACATAAGCCTCATCGATGAATACAGTCTTAAAACAAGAATATGGGTATCGACATGTAAGAATTTCTTCGTAAAATTCAAAAACTTCATGAAGATACGACGTGGTATGTTTAAGCAATGGAAGAAGCTGAGGTAAACAAAAATGAGTAACCTAAAAATAAAAAGCAGGGAAGAAGATCATTAAATAAAAGAGTTAACTGAAATCTTAAATTTCCTAAATATCTCAGTTATAAATGAAGCTGCATATAAATCTCCCCCCACCTTTTTTTTTTTTTTTTAACAAATCCATGGCACTGAGAGAAAATACTGGTATGAAATTAGTGACTATTTTTACTATGTTTACAAAATATTCATTACACTCAAGACTTAAATTCATGATGGATTATAAGTCTGAAATGCTTAGATCCAATGAAAATGATGATTTTGGTTCCAAATTAAAGTTTCTTTTGCATATGCATACAAAACAATCTAAATTTCCAAGGCTTATTGTAAACCTGCCTTTGATTCATAAATATCTAACCTAGTGAATACTGCACATCATAGTACTATATTAAATAATTAACAGTCATTATACTATCTTCAGTACATATAAAAAACAATATGAAAACTGCAGGGAAGCTTACTGGTAGTGAGGAGATAAGAAACATCAGCAACAGAAATAATTACATCTTACATTACATCCCACTTTGGACACAGACACTCAAATATCCCATACTGTCTCACTGTCTCTTATTATGATTCTGTGCCAAATGAACAACATCAATAATGACATATCACTCTGACTAGAATGACTCAGCAAGGTTTCATGAAGACTACATTTGTGCTAATCTTTTTGAACTGAACAAAAGTTTCATAGGTAAGGAGAGGAGGAAAAGAGGACATCCCAAACAGTCAAAGACGGGAAAAAATATGGTTTGGTCAGAAAAAAATCTAAGTAAACTATATTAAATATAACAACCATAAATAGAAAAGTAATGAGGAAAAAGCTAGAAAGGAATATTAGGGTCAAATTCTAGAAGCTCTTGAAAGCCATGCTAAAGAAATTTGATTACTGCAGGATATGGAGGCAAGGAAAGTTTTTAATATACAATAAAAAACTATTCTTCTGACAACATTATAAAAGAACAGATTAGAGACTACCATAAGTGAACGGTGAGCATTTATTTAACATTAGTGGTCAGGGCCCAAACTGCATGTCATTATATATTTCAGATAAAGAAACCTTTTCTCTCTAGTGATAGTTCTAACAGTTGAAAGAAGAATTAAGAAAAACTTAGTATTTAATTAATATTCTTCTGATTAGGCATGAAAGAGTGGGAGGGAAAGAAGCAAGAAGCTATGATTTACCTCATGCATATATGGATCTACAAGTATTTCAAAAGGTCCAATGGCCAAGGAGATGTTCGACGCAGCTGTTGGAATGGTAAGCATGTAATGGAAGGTTTTCTTCCTCATATCATGGGTATACACTGTCTCCACCAAATCTCCATTAGAAACAGCCACCATTGCAGCATCCACTGTAAATTCTAATTTCCATGTACATAATTCAGAGTATGAATCAACACATGGGAACCAAAATCTAGAAAAAAGATCAACAGTGCAGAAAACATGTTGAAAGTATAACCAACATTGTTTCTGCCACATATAAGTTATTTTAACATTTACAGAATATGCACAAGAAGAAATTTTAGCTATTTGCCCACTGATGTTTTTTACTGAGCAACCTGAAAGAATGTGATTAAAGATAAAGTTCTGTCTCCAAATATTATTGGCAATATTAATAAAATATATCATGTAGTACCTCCAGTTTAAACCCTGAAAAGAGGTAAGCAATTCTTAGTTTCCAATTTTTTAATTAAAAATAATTTTTACTTGTATATTCATAGTCAGTTTTTATGTAGCATTCATTTTTGGAAACTAAAAATGCTTACAAAAAAGTTTTTAAAAGTACAATATTCAGAATCTATTCCATAATGTCAGGAAACTGTTTTTCTGGAGTATGTGATGCATTGCATAAATTCAAACAGTGCTGGTAAAGCCAGACATAAAATTTCTATTCAATGTTCTATTCAGATCAGGTTTTACTATGTGCCAGGGTCTGTACTTGTTACTGAAACACAGAGAAACATAAGACATCATCCCTGGCTTGGAGGAGTTAATAATCTGAGGAGACTACACATAACATAATATTTCAATAACATGATTAACGGCAGAGCTATGAGAATGAACTACAATTACATGCAACAAGAAAGGTACATCTCACTACCACAATGTTACACAAGAAAGGCAGATATAAAGAGCATAAGGCATATGCTTCCATTTAATAAAGTTCAAAGATAGGTGTAATCAATCTACAGTATTTTAGAAATCAGGCTGGTGGTTCCCTAGGGCAGGAGGCTATCAGGTGGGCAAGAGTGAATGGAAGTGGGTAGAAGGGGTACTCTGCGATGCTGGTAATGTTAATGTTCTTTTTCTTGATGTGAGTGTGAATTACATGAGTTTGTTCACTTGTGAAAATGTATTGAGCTTTCTATTTACAATTCGTGTAATTTTCTGTATGTTTTACTTCAATACAAAAGTTTAAAAAATGAAAGAATTGAGACGACTTTAGAACAGTAGACTTGAAAAGGAAAGGAGGGAAGACAGGATTGAAGAGGAACAAGATTCAGAAGAGGTTCAAGTAGTTGGGGATCAAGCTCATACTTCTCATTTTACAATAAGTACATGTATTGCATATTCATAGAAAAAAATGCAATTGAAGAAATGAAATCAACTGAAATACGTAAGAATTAGTAATCTACCTTGTGGAATTTTGATACCCACAAGAGAAAACATGAGCACCTCTCTCTGCCATACTTCCCTCTACACTGGGTACCACAAAATGAAGACCTCCTTTTGGCTGATCCAAAGAAAAATTGATGTGTATCTTTAGCACCTTTAATTCTGCAACAAATAAATACATACATACATTGATATATAAAAATGTAATTAGGTAACAGTGGTTGATATAATAAGGGCAAAGACTTACACTGAACATAAAGTGGGAATCAAAGGCTGAGTTTTACATAAAATATCACACTACTTAACCTAGTTTAGGCTTTTACCATCTCTTTGCCTATAGGAACTCAACAGTCTGCTTCCAGTGGTGTTCTTACCTCCACTCAATTCTAGTCACTGCTACTTGTGTTCTCCCAAAATACCGGTCAGACCATATCCCCCTCTCAACATTTCTGACAATGCTATACTGCCTAAAGAAAAGAGTTTAAAACTACCACATAGCTAAGGCCTTCCAGATCCAATTCAAAACTTACTTTTCAAGTTTGTTCTCTTAGTACATTCTCGCACAGATTGTTAACCCTACTTGTGACTTTAAGGAGTAGGGAGTGGGGTAGGAGGGAAGGACTACCCAAAAATTTACATTATGCAGCATTATTTACTATGTTTGATTTCTAAGTAATAAATACGTGTTGCTTCCGTAAGATTAAAGAAAGATATTCCTTTTAATTTCCCTCCAAACATTACAACCATATGGACTTTTTCCAACCCGTGAACATGCAGTGATGACCTTCCACGCCTGCACCCTAAACTAGGCAAACCCCCTGCAAGGTAAACCCCTCCCCCCACCATATACACACACAAACTATACAAAAAGAGCAAAAACAAAACAAAGTCTTTTACTTCCTTATCTTGATTAATTTTATAAAGCAAAATAAAGGTAGGCAGAAGGTTATGTATGATTATAATGGCTGTAACTTTATACAAGGAAATAAAGAAGATGCAGAAATAATAAGACAAAGTAAAAGTATGCAGAGTGGGTGTTAGCAGCCCTACATTCTAGCCTTGGCTCTACTACTAATTAGTGACATTCAGCAGGTCACTTACTCTCTTTAAACCTCAGATTAATCTTCCGTAAAAGGAAAGAATTGAATCAGATGACTTTTTAGGATGCTTCCTTTTATAAAATGCTATAATTCTAAACTGAGTTAATACTGTGTGGGTTCTCAAATCTTGACAAGTTGTTCCAACCATCTAATTTTTGTTTTATAACTTTCGCTTTAAAAGCAACAGTGAAATGAGTTGCTTTTTGCCATAGCCCTTGATTGCTATTTTCCTGTTAGCCAATTATCTTTAAGGAAAAAAAGAGCTTCCAACTCCTGTATATTTCAACTGATTAATTTATAATTTAGGTACCATTAATTTTCATGAAAAGTTTCTAGTCACTGAATCCAACATGATTTTACTGTATACTCAACATGTTCTTGGTATTTTACCATCAACGTGTTTCCATAACTCTGATGGAACCTTAATGCAAAGTTCTCCATTTCCTGCATCAGGATCCACAGCACTAACCGCAGCTGCATAAGCATTGGAAAAATAATTGAGATTTCTCCTGGGGGAAAAAAAAAAGAGAAAGCCAGCTTTAACAATAAGCCATATATTTCACCAAGCATTTTCTTAAATACTTGGCACCATTTGTTTGTAACCATTGTATCATCTTACATAACTCATAGGAATGCTCTTTAGCCAAGTAACTGTTGCTCCATTCCCCAAAACTAAAACTATTAAACTATAAATGCGGGCTTCCCTGGTGGTGCAGTGGTTGAGAGTCCGCCTGCCAATGCAGGGGACACGGGTTCATGCCCCGGTCCGGGAAGATCCCACATGCCGCGGAGTGGCCAGGCCCATGAGCCATGGCCGCTGAGCCTGCGCGCCCAGATCTGGCCTGTGCTCCGTAATGGGAGAGGCCACAACAGTGAGATGCCCGCATACTGCAAAAAAAGAAAAGAAAAACAAAAAAAAAACAAAACAAAGCTATAAATGCAATGGCATATATAGTCTACTCGCCAATGCTATGTGATTATTATGACTATCACATCCTTCATTAATTTTAGAATGCCAAAGCCACTAAACTTTCCTAACAGAAATGTAAAGAATATACATAGAATTGAAGAAATAATTATTCTTCATCAATCTGGCAAAAATTTGAATGGATTCAACAAGCTTTGTAATCTGATAGAAATTAAGGTGTTTAAAACAAATCAGAATGGGAATTAATTCCTCAGAATTTAATACTGCTCCCCTCCACTCCCCAGTACATGACAATGTAAGCTTAATGAAGGAGAGGAACTTTCGGATGGTTCACTGTGATATCCCCTAAATGCCAGGGGACACTCAAAAAATATTTGTTCAATAGGTACTTGGCCTTATTTCCTACTGAATGAAAACAATACACAGAAGCCTTATTAAAATATGAAAATACTGTTCTCATCTGATTTTCTAATTTTATTCCATAAAAATAACTCATATATATATATATATATATATATATGTATATACATACACACATATCACATTTCCTCACTGAAATCAGTTAAAGTAATATGGAAGAAGTGGAAGAAAGAAAAAAGACAAGGAATGGCAAGAGCGAGAAAACAAGATTAGACACAATCCTGTGAGCCATATTCTTGTTGTGCACCTTTATGTCTATCATCTTGCCATTAGATAACTCCATAAAGTCAAGTCAGTGATATTTCACTAGCTTAATAAATTTTTAACCTAGTTAAAAGACAAGTTTCATATACTCTACAGAGTAATTATAGGGAAAATAAAAGAGGAAAAGCCATGAAAGAAAACATTAAACTTATACACTCTCAATATGATGGAGGCCATTCCTCCCCCATCTCCAACTCTCTCCTAACTAGTAAGGATGTAATATTAACTATGACTTTTAACAACTACAAAACACAAGGTTCTGAAAGTAGTTAAGCAGACTTCTCAATAATTTTAACACTTTCTTTCTCTTAGATAAATATGTAAAATAAAGGTATTAAAAACTCCAGGACCACAATAAAAAAAAAAGACTGTTTTTTCACATACCATCTTTTTTTTTTTAATTATCATACAGTAAAAGTAACTTTTTCCTTTGGTATATAATTCTATAAATTTTAACATGTGTAACCATCACCACAATCAGGATATAGAACAGTTCTGCCATCCACAAAAGCCCCTTGTGCAATGCCCTGTGTCAAATAAATGCAATCATACAGAATGCAACCTTTTGAGGCTGGCTTATCTCACTCAGTATGTCTTTGAAATTCATCTAAGGTGTTACATGTATCTATTGTTTGTCCCTTTTTATAATGAATAGTATTACATTGAATAGACTGTACCACAGATTGTTTATTCATTCGTCTACTGAGAGACATCTGGGTTGCTTCCAGCTTTTGGCTATCAGGAATAAAGCTGCTACAAATAACTGTGTAACAGTTTTTATGTGAATTTAATGTTCATTTCTGTAGTACAAACACCCAAGAGTGGGACTGCTGAGTCATATGGTAAATATAAGTTTAGCTTTATAAGAATCTGCTAAACTGTTTTCCAGAATAGCTATATCATTCTGCATTCTCATCAGCAATAATATGAACATGCCAGTTGCTCTGCATCCTTACCAGTACTTAGTTAACATACTAATTTTAAAAACTACTTTGTACATTTATAGGTTGCAATTTCTTTTCAGTAAAATTTCAAAAACATGAAATCTGAAAGGTAGCTGAAGAACTTGTAATATCCCCCAGTTATCTGTGAAATTCAAAAATAAAAAAATCTTTGTTACACAAAAGGCCAAATTTAAACATTACATATTAAACCACTCATTTTTTTTTTATGGAAAATTATTCTCAATCTCCTTATTTCCTGAGAAAAGGTAAAGTGGTCCAAATAAAATGGCAAGTCATTATAAATGGAATCTATTGGAAAGTCAGTTATGAGGAACAATCTTCTCATGGCTTGGATTTCAGTGTTTCCTTTCATAATATGAGTCAAAAATGTTTCCTTTCATAATAACCTAATAAAAGCCAAAAATTACAAGACAAGATTATAAGTGTTTTCAATTTTCAGAATAGTAATGATTGCAAAATATTAATATGTCCCTGCCCTATAACCACCACCCATTCTTCCTTAAGGAAACAAAGCTTAAAGATGAATAATGTTGTAGGGGATACTTAAAAACTAGTAAATTAAGGTAATCAAAAGAATTTTCTCCAAGAACCTATTATAAACATCTATATTAAATTAAAATAATCTGTTAATTCTTTGTCAGATAAAGAACGTGTGCTTCTTAAAACTGTGTGCAGATTTTGCAAAACTTAAGATTTAATTATTTGTAAACTTTTTCTCCGTTTAAAAAAATTTCATGGAAGCACAATATACGTCAGAAATATATATATACACTCTGAGTATACAGTTCGATGAATTTTCACAAAACCAAAGTAACCAGCATGCAGAGCAAGAACAGAACTTTACCAGCCTCCCAGAAGCCCTCTTGTAATCACTAACCTAGCCCTGCTTCCTACCACCAAAAGTAACCTATTATTCTGACATCTAATGAGATAGATTAACAACTTAATACACATTCTTTTGTGTCTGACTTGTTTTATTCAACATTAAGTTTGTGAAATCCATCCATATCATTGCATCTAGCTGTTGGTCATTCAGTCTCATTACTTTTAGAATTCCAACAGTGTAAGAATATATACCACAATCTACCATTCTACCATTGATGGGTTTTCAGGTAATTTACAGTTTTGACTATTACAAATACTGCTGTGAACAGTTCTGTACTTTTTTCTTGGTGAACATATTGGTTATACACGTAGGAGTGAGACCACCAATCATAGACTATGTATACATTTGATCTCAGTTTACATTTCTATTAGCTGTGTTTGAGAGTTCTACTCTATATCCTTGTCACACTCAGTTTTTTCTTCTGTCTTATAATTCACATACAGAATAAAATAAATAAATAAATAAATAAGTAAAAGCCAACAGAAAAATCCATTTTCCAGAAATGGAACCAATATCAAAATTAATAAAAATGACTTTTCAAAAATAATTGAAACAACATTTGATAATGATGCCATGGAATAAGGTTGCTTAGAGAAAACTCTACCTTAACAAGTTTTTCTATGAAAAAGCCTATGGTATTTCAGTGATAACAAGCTCAAACTTGAGTCAATTACTTTAAAGTAGCTATTTGTGAAAAGCTAATGAATTTCAAGCCACTAGAAATAATGAGTATAGATAAGAACAAAATGGCTTTACTGCTATGCATGTGTGATTACAAGTCCAAATAAGAAGAACACTATCTAGTTCTAGGGTTACCACATTTAAGAAAACACAATGCCAAACCAGAGAGTATTCAGAGCAGGGCAGAGAATAGTTAACAAATTTGGAAAGAGTTTTAAATGAGGAATGGTTGAAAGTATTGAGATACTACAGACTGGAAAAGAGAAAACTTACAGGAAAACAATTTTTAACTAGCATAAGTTTGTGAACATTATAGCAAAACAGACTGTGGCTCGATGTAATAAAGAACTTCCTAGCATTCAGAAATGAAAGGGGTGCTTTAAAATATAGTAAGCTCTCCTGAGCTGGACATATTCAAGCAGAAGGTAGAATAATATAGGAAAAATTCCTGCT